TGCTATAAAATTCTATGGCTCTAAAGAGATTTTATCAGGTAATAGAAAGATACTGAAATAAGTAATGAAGGAAAGTTAAGCCATGTGAATGGGGTGAAGGAGTGGCTGAAATCCCACCCCGATAATCCATAAACCAGAGTGGACTCTGACATAAAGCAAAGCTGCAATTTAGACTGTACCGGCTATTAACTTGTGATCAGTCAAAAAGGTTCTGGGAGAAAGCTTAGCACTATAGAGCCACCTAAAAAGGAAACTTGATAAGCAACTGACTAATGAGAATTATTTTAAACCCTATAGAAATATTTAATTTCATTCAACCACTGAAACTACAAGTTGTTTTTAGCAATTTAAAAACTTAGTTACTGGCTTTGGCTCTAGTTATTTCATGCATTTGAAAATAGTAAAGCTAAATTAAAAAACAGCAACTTGCCTTCCTTTTTCAAGATGACATTTTACCACAAAAACAACTGTAAAATGTATGAGGCATGATCATAATTTGAAGACTTTCATACAAATTAAATAAACAAAAATACACTTGTATTCACATTTTTCTTCCAGAATCTATCTCATGTACTCAACAGCAATTGCTTTCCATTAAGCCAGTAAATTTCAATATTTTTGTTGCATTTTTCTCAAACTTACTTATTTGACAAAAAGTAGACAAAACAGCTATATGCCAATTACAACATATATTGTTCTATTTTAAAACATTTGACATTCAAAGATATTTTCAAAATTCAGAAATGTGTTAAAATAAAAACTAGCCATGTCCTTAATTCATAACCCTAAGTGGTGGTATGTATGTTGTGTATACATACATATACACATTCACTGTATTTGATGTCAGTATAATTTGTGGAGGGGAAGGTGAAAAATAAATCCTTTAAATAGGGATACAGGTGGACCCATTGCAACAATGAGATGTACAAGTTGTTATATAGAAAATGAACTTTACAACTTTGGTGGGGGGGGGGTGAGCGGGGAGGATTGGGTGGGGGGCAGGGGGAGGATGGGAAGGGATGGGAAGGGAAAACAAAGGAGGAGGCTACAATGCTTGATAAGAAATGTACTCATTATCTTGCCCATGTAATTGTAACCCCTCTGTACAGTATTTTCACAATAAAAATAAATAAATAAATAAAAAGAAATGTGCATAATATGTAATTCTGTTACAGAAAGTTCAGAAAGATGAAGTTATACAAAATCACACATCATTAGTGGAAAGTAAAGTTGTCATATGTTTATATGATCCCAATTCCAAGCTATTTCTACTCCAAGACACTTCAGTCAAAGATGAACAGAATTTACCTTCGAGGAGATTGTAGCCCAAAAGCTACACAAAGCAGAGAATAAATGGTGTGATGCTGGCCAGGGCCAGCTAGTGAGATATTCACATAGAAAGGCGTCTAGTAGGCAGCTGCAGAAAATAAGGAAAGCAAGCCTAAAGATATGGGTATGAGAGAAACTATATCACATTAAACCCCCTCGTCTATTAAAGAATCAGATGAGAGAAATATAATAGCACAATATTAGGATAATAATACTCATTTGCTAATTAACTGTGAGTTGTAATTTCTTGGCAGAGAGGAAAATTTAGCCTTTGCAACCTTGTTGGGAATGTTTTTCAGGGTGAAGACAGAAAATAAAGAGGTTCCTGGTATTATCTTGCTAGTATCTTTTCACATTGAATCTTAGACCAAACACAGATTGCCTTTGGAGGGTAAGTTTACAATATTCAGTATAATTTCAACATGTTGTTTTTAACTTTTACAGTAGAAAGCAGCAGAACAAAAGTAATTTTTGAATATTTAAATGCATTTATTAGGAATAGAAAAATTGAAATAAATCTCTCCTGAAGTTTATTTCAAGATGAAAGTGAACAAAGATTCCAGTAGAATAGAAACTTAATTTTTACACAAATAGGCATAAATCAACTCATTTCTCCTATCCTTGCTCTCCACTGCTGCTCAGCCTACTGAGGAGGCAACTGCAGCTTCAACCCAGAATGGTGTATTACCAATGAAATTTCTCTGCAGTGTCTTAGATGGCTTGGTCTTGAGAGAAATAGCTTTTTCATCATCCACAATCATGTTACAGACTTAACTAGTTAAAAAAAAAACTCTTAAGTCCAAAATTCTGGCTCCATGGCCTACATGTAATCTAAACAAGCAATTTAACCTCTCTGAGTACTGATTTCTCTAGCTGTAAAAGAAGAATAACCTCTATTTAACATGACTTTTGTAGCAACTACATAAACTAAGTATTGAGCAGAGTCAGAAGATGAATAAAATAAATCACAGTAATACTACAGATATAGTGCTTGAGAGCATAGGAAAATTACGACTGGAAGAAATTTCTAGTCCAGGCTTGGTTAAAGTTTGCTGGGGGGTGGGGGTGGGGAGTGGAAGTAGAAGTAATCAGGAGGTAATACTAAAGCCAAATGTTAAAGAAAAAGCTAAAGTGTAGATAAGCCAAGAGTGTTGTCTCCAGCCTGTCACCCTAAGTACTTGGGAGGTAGAGATCAAGGGATTATGGTTTGAGGCCAGTCCCAGCATAAGAGTTAACTATACTTCTCAACCAGTGGCTGGGCACAATGGGACACATCTTCTATCCTAGTAACAAAGGGAAGCATAAATAGGAGGTATGCAGACCAGGATAGCAAGGGCGCAAGGCAAGACACTACCTTGGAAATAACCAGTGCAAAATGTGTTGGCTTAGTAAGCCTGAGGCTCTGAGTTAAAACTGTAGCCCAGCCAAAACAAACAAATAAGCAACAGCAGACAAAGAAGAGAGCATACTTCATCCAGAACAAAAGAAAAATGAATGAGCAATGCGATAGTATGCAGGCAACTTCACATTTAGACATTTTGGTGTTTAGGACAAGGTCTTGCTATATAGCCCAAGATGGCCTCAAACTTGCAATCTTCCTGTTTGTGCCTCCCAATGCTGGGATTTCAGGTGTGTGTCATAATGCCCTGCAGAACTTGACAGATTTTGGGGGGGATAGGGAGACTACTGAAGCTTGAACTCAGGGCTATACACTTGCTAGGTAGAAGGTACATCACTTGAGCCATTCATCCAGCCCTTTTGCTCTGGTTATTTTTAAGATAGGGTCCCACTTCTTGCTTATATCAATCTAGACCATGATCCTCCTATTTATGCTCCCTGCTATTACAGGATGCATACCACCATGCACAGTATTAGTTGAAACTGAGTCTCAAGAGCCTTTTGCCTGGGCTGCACTAGAACCATGATCCTCCCAATCTCTTCACATATGTGAGCCACTGACACCTGGAAGAACTTGACATCTTTAGATATTAATGAAAGGGAACCCTGGTAATTCCCAGATTGAACCCATATAATCATGACAGGTATTAAATCTTTCATTTTGAAGAGGTGTAAATTTGAATTATAAAATAGGAAAGGCTAACTAATGCATGGAGGTATAAAGAAGACAACTTCTGAGAAAGCAAAGTGGGCAGAATGATTGGTGATACAAATATATATATATAGAGAGAGAGAGAGAGAGAGAAAGGTTTCTATGAAAACATGAATTCAGTTTTAACATTTAAGTGCAAAAAGACATTTCTTAAAGAGACTAAGAATGAGAGATAAGAATTCAAAAAATTATTCAGCCATATCTCTCAGAGTTTAGAAAATTCATGTATGGGTAGGCAGTAACTGAATCAACAGTATCGAATAAATTATTTAGGGATACTACAAAGAGCAAGAAAAACTATGACCAAATTTGTTTATTTTTTTTTTGGGGGGGGGGGGGAGGAGTTGGTCATAGGGCTTGAACTCAGGGCCTAAGCACTGTCTTTCAGCTTTTATGATCAAGGCTAATGCTCTGCCACTTTGAGCCACAGTGCTACTTCTGGTTTTGGTAGTTAATTAGAGATATGAGTCTCATTTACTTCCTGCTCTGGCTGGCTTCAAACCCAGATCCTCAGATCTCAGCCTCCTGAGTACTAACATTACAGGTGTGAGCTACTGGCACCCACCCAAATTACTTATTACATGCCATTTTAATTCAGACTTAATGGAAGGAAGGTAAGCATAATGTTTGCTCTATGCCCAACATTAACCTCTCCAAACCATGCTCACTAATGACGGAGGCACTAGTACAAATAAGTAAAAACAAGGGTGACATTTCAGTCAATGTTATTATTGTTAATATTGTTATGAAATATGTGACTGTCAAGCAAGTATGCAGAGTTAGGTTACTAAGTTTTAACTGTCATGATAAAGATTTTGAATCTAATCCTTTAGGTTTCAGTGCTCACTTTCAAGAAAGGAAAGCATAGCAGAGCCTTTGTGAATAAAAAGCCTCATAGATGATTTCCCTGGAGAACAAATACCAGAATTTGTTCCAAACAATGGGAAGGAGCTATAGACATTTCAGCACTGAGTTTTGTAATGAAACAGAAATTGGGGAAAATTCATGGGAAGGACTGATAGAATAAAAGGTCAGGAGGCGATGTACAATCCAAAATCATGGATTTTAGTTAGACTAGTTCAAACCCAGTGGTAACTATACTAATAGCTTATCTATACTTGAATTCACTCACAAGTCAAAACACTAGTAACTATTTCAAAGGGCTGTGATGAGAATTAAGGAAGCAAATACAATAAATATAAATAACATTAAAATGAGTATGAGTTTTGGTCTGTGACTGTTTATTGTAATAATGATAAAAACAACTGTCACCTAGCAAATCAGATTTAAAAAATAGAACTAAAATCTGAATTTTAGAGTTAAACCAATTAAAAAAAACTTCAAGCCCAGTTTTAATTGGTAAAAAAAATAGATAAATTAAACAATTTTAATAGAGCAAATCAATTCATGTTGTACACACCATAGAGCAATTTAGTTTATACTTAATATGTATCTAAAATTGCTGTGCTAGCTAAAACAGGAAGAGAAGATATAAAAATAAGAAAAAGTAAGATGCTAATCTTTTATAATTTAGAAGAAAGGCAAGCTAGTTAGAAATTACCTGACTAACTCGATTTACTTCTTCCTCTTCTTCTTCAGCTTCTTCCCCAAATGAAAGTAAACTAAAATTTCTAGTAAAAGTGAAAAACACAATAAAGAAACAAAAAAATAAAAGAAAATTAGGAAGAAAAAGTTAGACAAACTCATACACATCCTATTTTCAAAGGAAGAGAACAGACTAAAAAGAGGTACATTGTGACTATTTAAAGATGGTATTACTTAGATAATATTACAATATTACTCAGACCATCAATAGTTCATATATTATATTGAACCAATGACCAAAATCCATCCTGAGCATGGTTATGTACTGAGTCAAGCAAGATGGATATAATTAAACTTTTGATATTTACCAAAACTAGTGGCAAAATGTAAATTTCTGAATAAGTAATACAGATGCGTAAAACAGCACAGATATGGAACAATGTACCTTATTTTAAAATATATCTTATTTTTAAAATTAATAAAGAACACAAAATTTCCAAACCAAAAAAAATAATAAATTCATGGGGAGAAAAGTCTCCTTTGATCCTTCAAATTAAAAAACAAGAAACAAAACAAAAACCTCAAATAGGATACATAAATTAATTAAAGCTTTCTCAAATATTAGAAAAAATAAAGATCTGGCAATAAGGATGCTTTTTCACAATGTATTACAAGAAATGACTACCACATCATCCCTAATATATTTGCTATTTATGAAAACAAAATACACACACACACACACACACACACACACACACACACACACACAACTTTTGAGCTACTGTCAAGATAAATCACAGAGATGTAATATTGTAAATGAATATAGTAACAATGACCTTTCATAAGAATAAAAGAGTGGGAAGCAGAGTTATGTCTCAAGTGGTAGAGCTCTAGCCTTGAGCAAAAGAAGCACAAAGAATGCATCCAGTCCCTGAGTTTAAGACCCAGGACCAGCATGAAAAAATAATAATAATAATAATAAAAACTGAAAGAAAATCAAATGTACAGTTAAAGAAACGTTTCCCTCAGATCATCAACTGCTTACTAAACTATCTGGCTTACCACTTAGTTTATAAAAGCAACTTTATTTATTTTGTAGGATATGAAAAAAAGAAACTATTATGTATTGAATACATATACTAAAAAGAAAACAAACTAAAATTTCTAGTAAAAAAGAATAGCAAAAACTATAGGATGTTTGCACATAACCTTTCTGACTTAATCTTCCCAACGACTTGATACTGAACTTGTTATAAGCTCTGTTTCATATAACCAGGTACCTGAAGCTCAGCAAGATTAGTAAACTTTGCTTTTTATTTACTGGGTATGTCAGGATTATACTTATTGTCTGAACCTAACATTTATCTAAAAGTGTTGCTGTAATTCAGTAAAAGAGCAAGTTGAAATCCAATTCTTACCTATTTTAGTAAAAATGAAATATTAATAATGTGAAGAACAGTGTCACAAAATGTTAAAATTTATTTTAAAAAGAAACGTCTATTTTTATAATGCTATCTTCAGTAAATAATCCAGAGTTCAAAATGAAACAGCTTTACTTAAAAATATTTATAAGATTGCCGGGTGCCGGTGGCTCATGCCTGTAATCCTAGTTACTCAGGAGGCTAAGATCTGAGGATCGTCCAGCTTCCCAAATTCTTTATAATGAATACCTATTAATTTTTAAAAACAAAAGTTTTTCACTAACTCACTTATATTAAATATATATCTTACACAAATTTTATATGGCATCTAGGATGGCACAGTTTTAGCTAGGTTTAAGTTATATAATATACTTAAATATGAGAAATGTTCTATTGAAAATAAAACCCACACTCATAATTCTGAACACTCCCCAACTCAAATTGGCTTTTCACTTACTAGTAAATATCTACCAAACCAAACTAAGTAACTAAGTAACTTAGTGTCACTTTTAAAGTTTAAAATGAATATTTCTACTTTGATTACTTTGTGCCTTTAGGTTTCAATTTCTTGACTTCCTCCTCTGGTTTCTCCTTTTTCATCTTTTTAATTTCCCTTGGAATGATGTCATCAAAAGGATTAAACAAAACCTACAAAATGAAATATTTTGAAAATGTTATTCTAGTTTTAAATTCCACAAAAAATTAAAAACAAACATTAATTGTATTGACATTACAGTCTAAAATTGTCCTCATATATACATTACTAGTCTAGTGATAAATAAACTATACAGAATACTTATACTTACATGACCTATTTGTATCTTCCTAATAAGCTATTTGCTACTTAAATAAAAGTAGTGTATTTTATCCTTATTCTACAAAAGCAAAAAAAGATAATTAGAGAATTTAAATGAGATAGAGGAAGAAAAACCAAGATAGTCTTAAGAAATTTGCTTCCTCAATATGAGGTAACTTTTAAGTCACCTATGAAATCATTTCTTTGGACTAACTAAACCTAATTCCTATAACATTCCATTATAAATGGAGCTTTACATTCATTGGATTATCATCTAAAGTTTCATCTTTGAACTTAAAACCCCCCAATTAAAGTTTTGTTTTGTATGTTAAATTTGTTTAGTTGCTTGGTCAACAAAAATCAATAAAGTGAGAAATCATAATTACTAAGAAAGTTACTTTTGCCATTGACTAGGACCACTAAAGAGATGGTTGAAGAATCAGAGAAAAATTATTTTTAAAAAATAGAGAAACATTCTTTTATCCATTCTTTTACTTCATAGGTACAAATTAAAGGATATCTTGTGAAATGAAGACATGGAAGAGTCAGAGGAAGAGAACGCTCAAAGTATAGTAACCTTGTGCTCTTTCTCCTATGTCACTGACTAGTCACAGGTTGTCCATGCTCAGCCTCATCTGTTACCACAGATGTTCAGTCCATCTCTCCATCTCTGGTTAGACTGTTACTAGAAAATTAGTGCAGCTACCTACCTCGTTCCAAAACATTCTTACTTAAATACTGTGTTTAAATAAATCAGGATCATGATATACTTAGTATAAACCTTCATCCAATAATTTCAACTTGTGAATGATTAGTTCTTCTTAAATGACAATATAAGTCCTCTATTGCATAATAATCATGCTCCTACCTCACTACTTCTGATTTTGTGTGGATTTCGTGGTCTTTCATCTTCATCAACATCAACTTCGGTGAGCCGCAGCATGTTGTATACTGTGTCCCCTGTAACCTTGCAAGTAAAAATATAAATTATTGCAATTGTTATATTTATCCTTTAATAGAGAACTTTTGTAAACACTTTTTGTAAATAACTGAAAGGGAATTTCACATTATTACATCAGAATATATGTAATAAATAATTAAGATGAAGTAATTTCATTTTAAGGGGAAAGCAAGATAAGTTCGATCACTCAATAAAGTTTCTTGAAATTTTCTATTACAGGCTTAATACTTAAAACAAAAATAAATGACAACTTTTATGCAAATATCATCAGCAAATTAGATTTTACAATAAGCAAATAATAACAACGTGATAGATACTCTGCAAATATCTCACTTAATCTACCTAAACACACTAAACAATCATTATCCTCTTCCAATAGCCATGACATCTGAGTCTCAAAAAGTTACAGATCCAAGAACAGTGGTTTTCCAATTCACAACCTATATACTCTTTGTTGTCTCTAACTACTCTCTAATGATAAATTTTAAAAAATCAATTTTCTGCATAACAGTCAAAACCTGTATTGGGAGTGACACAAAAGAATAGAACAATTTATATTTCCTTACAAATGTTAAGAATTAAGCAACAATGTTAATTTAATTATTTGTGTCGCTCTTAAATTCAACATTTCTTAAGATTTTAAAATACCAACTTCCCAACTGTACTGTTTGTTTTCTCTAACCCATTCTGCTTAGGAAATACAAAAGCAATTCTTACTGAACCAGCAGAGGGTGCTGATAAGCTACTGTTTAACATGTCTAAGAATTAAAATGAACTGGAATGTATTTATATTGAAACATACAGGAATATATTTATATTTATGAGATGAGAGAAGTGTGAAAGAAGGAAACCTTCAGAATGCTTTTTAAAGAAAATCGTTGAAGACTCTGTAGAAGAACATTTTGTCAGATGACACTGTAAGTTACCAGGAGTAAATAGTCCTATTCAAAGCAGTATTTCCAGTAAACTTTCAACATTAATATAACTTCCACTTTAAATTTAAATTAATTCACCTCTAATAGAAAATATAAACTATAAAATGTTACTGCCTGAATGCCTTTCTAAAAAACTTAAAAACAATATTGGCTGAGTGGGATAGCTGCTAATATTACTAGTCTGATTTTAAAGGGAGCACACATTGCAGTCATAACAAATGACCAACTTGAAACAGGTAGTCCTTTCCAGTTAATATTCCATCCTAATTAAAAATAATAGATAAATATTGGGAATATTTTCAGGAAGGCGGCTGTTAAATAACTTGATCATATGTACCATAGAAACATAACAACTAAGATTTTAAAAGAATAGGACAGGATGACTTGCCACTAACCTTTCCGAAGATGGTGTGCTTATTATTAAGTTCATCTGCTCGACCCAGTGTAAAGAAAAACTGGCTGCCATTATCATGAGGACCAGCATTTGCCATTGCAACCAAACCTCGCCGATTAAAACGCAACCGAGAGTGAAATTCATCCTGAAGCATAAAGATTTAGTGAAAACCTCAATCATAAAACCTTTCATATTCAATCAGACCAGCAATGACAAAAATGATTTCTAATGAAAAGTGCTCAGGTTTGGTTACCTACTTTTCAAGTATAATCAAATCAGTTTTCTTATGACATTTACTATTTCTTTCTATATATAAACCTAAATTCACTAGCCTCCAGGTATCTTCTAAATATACTCGGCCACAAACATATATAACCCGTTCTATGGAACTCTGTTTACTTATGAATAGAGGAAGGATACACAAAGGAGAATAGATTTTTAAAGCTCATTGCTTTGCCAGGTGTCGTTGGCTCATGCCTGTAATCCTACTACTCAGGAAGCTGAGATGAGGTTCAAAGCCAGACTAGGCAGGAAACTCCATGAGACTCCTATCTCCAATTAACCACCAGATAACTGGAAGTAGCACAGTGGCTCAAGTGGTAGAGCACTCGCTTTGAGCTGAAGAGCTCAGGGACAGCACCCAAGCCTAGAGTTCAAGCCCCACGACCAAAAAACAACAACAACAACAACAAAAATTCATTGCCTTATTCTCATCTTTCAAAGTTCTCTAAATTTTTAAGTCCTATTATTTTTCTAAGAGACCTATCTTTGAAGCATTATGAAATCTTCACTTAATCTTATTCCCCATCCTACTGTAATAGAAGCAATTACTTTCTTCTTTTAATTCAAGAAATATACCATGATTAGTTAATTTGATTGTACTGCATTTATTAAGTCCTAAATTTAATCTCTCCTAACTGGGACTAGTTAGGAGATATTAGTTACAATTGGCTGTCTTCAAAGGAGCAAGTATAGGCTGTTGACAGCAGTTCTCTCCTCCTTATAGGCTCTTTAACTGATTCCTTAATAGCTTAGTAGAATTTCTCTCTAGACCTGACAATGGAATCATATATACTAGTCATTCTAAGTAATTCATTATTTTTGCAAAAGAAGCCATTTTCCCTTTATAAGTACATTTAAAAGGACCTAATTGAAAAACTTAACAAGAAAACTATGTTACCTGAAAGTAAGAAAGTAAAAATCTCATATTAGGAAGAACCAAATAATAGGATATAGGAATGCTTCCTAACAGGTCTAAAATTATAAGACATAGCTCTGGTACAATCTAAAATACTTAACAGTGACATTTGAGGATTCTTTAATGACCATTTCATATTTTTAAGGCCATTATCATTTGGAAACTAAATCAGTGAAAATATTTTTCTCAAGAGTCACAGTAGGACCCAGTAAAAGATAAAAGAAAATCCAGAAACTCCTTCCCTTAGAGTATGTGTGTAGTTTTCAAAAACTCCCCTTTTAGAAGACTTACTTATTCATTCAAAGGAGTTAATAAATGGTACCATGTGATTAATAATAAACATAACTTCAGTGTACTTGGATCCACTGTTGCTCCTCATCTCTTAGGTCTATCAATTTTTTTTCTTAGATCCCTACTGGCAGTTAGGAACCATTAGCCTATACTTGACTAATACATCTCTTTTCTTACTTTCTTAATGTCTCTTCTTCCTTCTGTTCTCCTTGTGATTTTCTATTATAGTATGCATTTTGTGCCACAGAGAACTATTTATATAGTTGGTGATAAATTTTACTATAAAGGCCTGAACTGTGCCCTTCAAATTTTTTATATTGAAGACCTATCCTCCAATGTGACTCAATCTAAGCTTGAGAAGAAGTGCTGAGAGGAATAAAGATGAAATAAGAACATGAGAGTTGGGCTCTACTTCAACAGAGCTCATCTCCTGGAAGAGTCACCAGAACTGGCTCTCTTTTTCCCCACGTGAAGACTAGAAGGCAGTCATCTGCTACAAGAGAGACCTCAACAGAAACCACATTGGCAGACTTCACAGGCTCTAGAACTGTGAGAAAGAAATCCTGTTGTCGAAACCACCCTCTCTCAAGTACTTGGTCAGACTAGACTAAGTAAACTACTACAGATTCCAGATGATGTAAATAAAACATTATAAAATATCCTATGCAAAATCCTAAAAAATTTCTCATTTATAAACCTGCAGAGATTAGATAGAGTCAGACATCAGGAAATAAGCTCTGTGGGCCTTCTTTTCTGAGTCACATTTTTTTCAAAATCATTTTTAACTCCACCTGAATTCAATCTAGCATAAAAGGTTGAAATAAGAAACTCAGAAAGAATGCTTGACAGCATAATGGCTGCTGTTATACTGGCATAATTTTATACAGCTGATTTTGTATACTATGTGAGATGGTTTTTCTTCTTGTGGGACATAATCACTTTTGATTAAGCAATCAAAGCTGACTTGCAATAATAATAGCTCAGTTTTACCTTGAATGGAGCTCCATAAATAGACTCTCCTCCAGTCCCTGTACCGGTAGGATCTCCTCCTTGGACTATAAAACCAGGTACAACTCTATGAAAGATGGTATTGTCATAATACGCTGAAAAAAATAAAAATTTAATATATAAGTTTCTAAAATTAACTATATCTATACTTCTGTAAAACTAAAGCCATAATAGTTATTTTCTAGAATATTCATACCAAAACCATATCTTCCCTACTTCTTTATCTTCATAGAACATTTTTGTACATAAACCAAGATTCTCAAACTCTGGATTACTGTTTACAAAATAAAAATTAAGAGGGTAGATAAACACCATTGGTTCTCAACTGAGGGGAAGAAACAATGCAAAGTTGTACTCAGTATTGCTGGCTCACAGCTGTAACCCTAGCTACTTTGCTTGAGCAGCAAAGTCCGTGAGATTTTTGCCTCTAATTAACTACCAAAAAACAAAACAAAACAAAAACACCAACAAAAAATGGGTCTATGAGACTTATATCTCTCTAATTAACCACCAAAAAAAAAAGGGCAGAAATAGATCTGTGGATCAAGTAAACTAGGCTTGAGTGAATAAACAAGGGAGAATGACAGACGGAGTTCAGGTCCCAGTATGAGCACACATACAAATATATATATATATATATATATATATATATATATATATATATATATATATATATATTATAAAGCATGTTATATATAATATGTATGTATGTATATTATGTATGTATATATATATATATATATATATACATACACATATATATGTATTTTGAGTTCAGCATTGGATTTATTTTCCCAAAACAACAAACTGCCAGCATGTTGAATGGACTCAAAGGAGAAAGTTGGAGAAAACAAAAAAGAAACTATCATTCCAACATTTAGGAAGCCAGACCTATAAGAACCAGATATATTAGATGTTAGGGAAGGAACATGAAAGATGTTTTTATTACTCATGTTTCAAACTTTAAAATCACTTCATCCTATTCTTTTTCTTCCTATTCCCGTTAAGTATTTCATTATGTCAGTTTTGTAATTCAAAGTTTTCTTTAAAAACTTTCCTAGGAGGATAGTGTTCTAGACCCACTGCGGCAAAAACAGACCTGATTTCAAAAATGAAAACAAAAGGAGTCAGAGGTATGGCTTAAATAGTAGTGTATCTGCCTAGAAAACATGAGATCTTGCATTCAAATTCAAATTCCATCCCCCCAAAAAAGAAGAAATGTCTTTTAACTTGTGCCTTATTTATTTAGTTATTTATGTTCACTACTCTTAAGGAATTAATGACTATTATTTAGTAAATAGAATCAAACATAACTGATAAAAGACAGACGAAGAGATAAAGCTGAAATAAAAGAGATGAAGAGATGAACACCTGCATAAATTAATTTTATTCTCTCCTCATGCTTTATAAGAACAAATGGAATTATCATAGTTAACTATTAATGGAGCTATTGGTTTCCTTTAGTTTTACTAGTTTCCATTCTCACCTGTACAGTAATTTTTTTACCCTACTTTTTCAATTGACAGTTTTACAACTTTGTACTTCTGGATTGTGGACTTCTTTTCAATTGTGATCACAATTTTAATTGAGGGGACTATGTTCTACTTCCTCATGTTTTTATTCGTTTGTTTCTATATTCTAGAAATTGCTTTTTGTTGTAGTTGGTATATTGATATGAGTGTTACAAGATCACGGTACACTATGACTTATTTAAATCACACAGTCAACGAATTAAAATAGGATTCTCTGAATTACAGTTTTAAACCTTGATTTTATCATTTATTTATTTATTTTAGTTAGGAGTGTTGTGGTCAAATCAGTCTTCAGACATCATGCTAGCATTTCCAATAAAAAATAATTCAATCTCCTGACTGTTTAACTAAGAGAATTACTCTGTTTATTTTTCTTATTATTTTTCCATTCTCTTTTCTTCTTCCTTGTACTCTTATACATCAGAGAATAACTTTCTGTTATAATTGAGCTTCATCATCATCCAGCGAAAGAAGACTCTCATTTTCTATTTACTCAGAAATAGATACCCTCTGTTTCTTCCATTCACCTGGTCATAAGTTGCAGTTTTACCACTCATTCTTTCTAATGTTTTTGTAATTTCACTCTCCTGTAAAATTTGAGCTTCTGATTCATCAAAACATCTTACCAGAAACAAGTCTGAATTTTCTGTCTTTTGTTTCTTAGCTTTGTTGACAGTTATTTGAAGTCTCTCTAACTAAACTACCTGTCTGAATCTATTTCCTTCCTGCCTGCCATAGCAATTATTAATAATGATCATTGCAGATGTCCTTTCTCCTCTCTCTCTCCTCTCCTTTGTTCCCTCCCTCCTTCAACCCCTCACACTCATTTTTTTTATTCCTTGGTAGATAACTATTTGTTTAATTATTTGGAGAGTCAAATATACCAACCACTGAACATTGTGGATTCTTTTTTCTACCTTGTTTCTGATCTAAAATGCTATTTTCTGGTACCCTGAATAACATTTAAAATCAGGAATAACTTAGGAGGATAGTTATTATCCACCACTATCAATATTTTAAACAATACACGATATATTCCAGAAGTCAAGAAGAAGCTGCAAAAAATATTTGAGCGAGGGGCCAGTGGCTCACACCTGTAATCCTAGCTCCTCAGGAGGCTGTGATCCAAGGTTCTCAGCTTGAATCAAGCCAAGGCAAGAAAGTCCACGAGACTCTTATCTCCAATAAACTACTCAGAAAAAGCTGGAAGTGGTACTATGGTTCAAGTGGTAGAGCACTAGGCTTGAGTCAAAGAAGCTCACAGACAACACCTAGGCCCAGAGTTTAAGCCCCAGGATTAACAAAAAAAAAAAAAAGTAATAAAATAAAAATATTTGAAATGCTTACTTCCATAAGAAATTGTTCAGAAACAAAAAACATTCAAGTGAAAAAAAATCCTTATATGATAGAAATCTTAGAAACAAACAAAACTAGAGATAGTGCTAAGAACAACAGTGAAGTGCAGAAACTGGAATTTTGAACCGATAATTTAAAAATAGGTAGAATTAAGTAAAATGAGAGAAAATATATCAAAAAAAAGGAAAACTAGTATGAGAATAGGAATGGGAAGTACAAGTGGGAAGGAAGGGTTCAAATATAAAGATAATTATCACCAAAACCACATGGTTAGTATAATAAAAAACACAGATGGAAAGGTAGGAAGCCTGAAGATTTAAATATCAGATATACAAATGGAGGGGGAAAGAAAGAAGGGGAGAGCAAAAGACTAGATAAAAGGCAATTATAGCCATCAAGGTAAAAGTCAAGACTGCTGAGAGAAGAAATTAGTACATTTAGTTATACCTTGGTTTAGCTGATAGTGGAAGTTTCCAGTCTACTAAGCAATTAAATAAATTAGTGTTAAGAAGGAAGAAGTAGAGTTCTGAAAATGAGAGTCATTTGGGTGGAAGAAAACAACAAAAGAGTGAAGGCAGATGGCTGCTGGTAGCTCACGCCTGTAATCCTAACTCCTCAAGGGGCTGAAATCTGAGGATCATGGTTCAGAGCCAACCTGGGCAGGAAAGTCCGTGAGTTGTTAACTCCAACTAACCACCAGATAACTGGAAGCAGAGTTGTGGCTCAAAGTGGTAGATTAGTAGCACTAAGCAGAAAAGCTCTGGGACAGTGCCCAGGCCCTGAGTTCAAGCCCTATGACCAACAGAAAAAAAAAATAAAAAGAGACAGAGAAGAGAGAATGTGAGGCAAACTTGGGAATACTCATATTTAGAGAATGAAAGAGAGAAAAACAGAGGAGTTAGCAGAGGAGACCAAAGAGATCAATTTCTCTGTTTATAAAGGATATAGATTTATTTAGGAAAGACCTGATATCCTTTCTATTTCCCCACACATAGCTTAATGTCACATAATGCTATCTAACATGAGTCTTCACTGTTGTGAAAAATACAATGCAATTTGTCTTTAAGTGAACAAAATTTTTTCCCACAAAATACTGCTTAAGTTGTACTTACCTTCCAAACAAAGCTGAATGAAATTCCGGCAAGCTTTAGGAGCTTCTTTTGACCACAACTCTATATCAATATCTCCAGCTGTAGTTTTCAGTAAAACCTGTAGGAAGAACATATCACTATATTAAATTTTCATTTTGCTTGATGATCAGTTGAACAGCTACTCAACTTGCAGCATTCATTTTCAATTTTAGAAGAAATACTATAATCTTTACTAGGCTTTTTTTTATTATAACCAACAAATTGTCAGATATTCATGGCACATTTAAATCACTCATACTATTTTCAGAAAAAGATCAAGATTTAAGAAAAATAATATACAAATAGTATATGCTTTCTTCAATTTTTGCAGTATAGGGGCTTGAACATTAGGTTTGAAGTACATACTCTATCCCTTAAGTTCTGAAACAAGCCCTTTTTGCTCATTATTTTTACAATATGGTCTTTCTTTTTGCCTAGACTAGTCTCCAATTTTATGTTTCCCAATCTTGACCTCCTGAAAAGCTAAGATTATAGGCATGGACCACCAAGCTAAGCTAGTATATACTTTAAAAAAATACTGGGGTGAGGGGGTTAAACTTCAGGGCTCACACTTGCTCAGCTGGCAATTTACAACTTGACCCATATCTCCAGAATAGTGTTTTTTGCTAGTTATTTTTGCAGATAGAGTCTCACAAACTTTTTCTACTCCAGCTAGCCTCAAACTGTCATGCTTCAAATCTTAGCTTCCTTAGTAGCTAACTTTTTTAATCACAGGAGAAAAAAAGCATTCATTTGAAAACCAGTAATGCAAACTTGACTACTAAAGAGTTTCTTTTTCTATTACTTGCAATAAGATTTATTCAGGAAATTAAATAACCTAAAAAGACATGAAATCCTTGAATTAGTACACATTAGACAGTTTTATAATTACTTATTTTGCAATTATTCTACCTTTGTATTTAAAATCATGCTGTTCCTAATTTAGAAAATAATATTTTTAATCTAATATTGTTGATGACTTCTTAAATTTTATGCCTTAGAAAAATCGAAAAGCTAAAGCCATTTGCTCTAAATTCAGGAGCGAGACAAGGATGTCCACTCTCTCCACTTCTCTTCAATTTAATATTAGAATGCCTAGCTAGAGGAACAAGACATGATCCAAATAGGGAAAGATGAAGTAAAACTCTCCCTCATTGCAGATGACATGATCTTGTATTTAAAGAAGCCTATGAACTCCACTCCCAAGTTACTCGAGCTGATTCAAAACTATGGCAAAGTAGCAGGGTATAAAATTAACCCTCAAAAAACAATGGCTTTTCTGTATGCCAATAACGAGAAGAGCGTGGCTGAAATCAGGAAAGCAACTCCTTTTGTTATAGCCCAGCCCCACAAAAAATAAAATACCTAGGAGTTAACTAAAGAAGTGAAAGACTTCTATGATGAAAACTTTAAAAACCTGAAAAAGGAAATCAAACTAGCACTAAGGAAGTGGAAAAACCTTCCAGGCTCCTGGATTGGGAGGATTAACATCATGAAAATGGCAATACTACCAAAGGCTATCTACAAATTCAATGCAATACCCATCAATATCCCAACCTCATTCTTCAATGAAATAGAAGAAGCAATCCAAAATTCATATAGAACAATAAAAGACCCAGAGCAAAAACAATTCTTAATAAAAAGAACAGTGCTGGAGGAATATCAATATCAAACTTCAAACTCTACTATAAAGCCATAGTAATCAAAACACCTTGGTACTGGCACAAGAACAAACCTGAGGACCAATGGAATAGGACTGAAGACCCAGAAATGTACTCACAGACCTACATCCACCTAATCTTCCACAAGGGAGTTAAAAAAAAATAGAATGCAAGAAAGAGAGCCTCTTCAGTATCTATCACCCTGCACCAGAATCAACTCCAAATGGATCAAAGACCTCAAAGTCAAAGCAGACACCCTGAAAACATTACAGGAAGGAATAGGAGAAACTCTAGGGTCCCTTGGCACAGGCCAAAATTTTCTTAATAAAGACCCAGAAACACAACAAATCAAAGAAAGGTTAGACAAATGAGATTGCATGAAACTGCAGAGCTTCTGCAGGCAAAGTACATAGCAAGCAAGATCAATAGAAAACCCATGGATTGGGAGAGGATCTTCACTAACCATACAATGGACAAGGGTTTCATATCTAAAATATACTTAGAACTCAAAAAATTAAATCTTCCAAAACAAATCCTCAAAGAAATAACAGCCCGATTAATAAGTGGGCTAAAGACTTAAAGAGAGACTCTCTAAAGAGGAAATAAGAATGGTCAATAGACACATGAAGAAATGCTCAACCTCTCTAGCCATAAAAGAAATACAAATCAAGACAACATTGAAATTCCACCTCACCCCAGTTAGAATGGCTATAATCAAGAACTCTAATAACAACAGATGCTGGGGGTGGGGGGATGTGGCCAAAAGGGAACCCTATTGCATTGTTCGTGGGAGTGTAAACTTGTTCAACCACTCTGGAAAGCAGTATGGAGGTTCCTCAAAAGACTACTCCCCTATGGCCCAGCAATCATACTTTTAGGCATTTACCCAAATGATCACAAACAAGGCCATACTAAAGCTACCAACACAACTATGTTTATCGCAGCATTATTTACCATAGCTAAGATATGGAACCAACCCAGATGCTCCTCAGTAAATGAATGCATCAAGAAAATGTGGTATATATACACAATGGAATTCTATGCCTCCATAAGAAAGGATGACACCTCCCCACTTGTTAGGAAATGGAAGGACTTAGAAAAAATGATACTAAGTGAAGTAAGGCATGCCCAAAGAAACATAGGTCCCATGGTTTCCCTTATCTGCAATAACTAGTATATGTCTATGAGAAGCAGAAGAGGTCAAAAGCTATGTACATATGACCATATAAAATGATGCTAAGCAAAATGAACCCCAAGATAGGGACACAAGAGGTTTTATCTTTCTTGCTGTTGTTTTTAACATACTTATAATGTGCTATATGATTTTTTTGTTTCTTTTGTATGTTCTTCCCCCGTGGTATTACCCTTGTTATCACTGTATTTGATTCCAGTGCCCCACATCTTGTATATACATTTTTCTAATTTGGGGAGGTGAGGGGAAATAACAAAATGCTGATATACAGATACAGGTTGGCCCATTGTAACAATGAGATGTACAAGACACTATGCTGCAAACAAACTTTATAATTTGGCGGGGGGGGGGGGGGGGGGGGGGGGGGGAGTTGGGGAGATAGGGAGGAAAAGGATGGGGGGGGGAAAAACAATGCTCGATAGGAAATGTACTCATTACCTTGCTCATGTAACTGTAACCCCTCTGTACAGTACCTTTTTTTTTTTTTTTTGGGTCCGGTCATGGGGCCTGAACTCTGGGCCTGGATGCTGTTCCTCAGCTCTTCAGCGCAAGGCTAGCGCTCTACCACTTGAGCCATAGCACCACTTCCGGCTTTTTTCTTTTTGCTTATGTGGTGCTGAGGAATCGAACCCAGGGCTTCGAGCATGCAAGGCAAGCGCTCTACCACTGAGCCACCTTCCCAGCCCTACAGTATCTTTACAATAAAAATACATCTTTAATTTTAAAAAATCACCATTAATAGTAAATAGAATCCTTTGATCTCTTGTCCACCAGCTCCTAACTGGTAATGCATTGGTGGAAGCAGCCATCTTACAACAACTAGAATTCCTTCCTTTATGTCTTATTTTTTCTCTTTGAATCAAGGATTACTCTCATACATGCTAGCACTCTAGCTCTAAGTTATACCTCTAGCCAACTAGAACTCCTTCTTAGTGCATAGAAGGAAACAGCTTATAAACGGCTTACAAACAACTACAAATGAATGAAAGGAATAAGTTGGTTCCTAAATTTGAACACTGCAGCATAGTTGGATCTCAATTTCTCCAGGATCATTTTCCCTTTTTTGCCTCCAGTGTAAAAATGTTGATTAATGTCAACAATCTGTGGCCACCACTGTCATTTAGGGTGTCATTTAGGAAAATTATTCCAGAATAATTTTCAAAATATGACTAGTTTTCATGAGAAGTCAATTATCATTGATATGTCATTCTTTTTAACCATCTAGACAACTATTTTTTGCCATTCCTGGGGTTTGAACTCAGGGCCTGGGCACTGTCCCTCAACTGCTTAGACTAGCAGTCTACCACTTGAGCCACAGCACCACGTCTGGCCTTTACTCTTTATGTGGTACTATGGAATCGAACCCAGGGCTTCAAGCATGCTAGGTTAGCACTCTATCACTAAGCCACATTCCCAGCCAAGACAACTTCTTTACTAAGGTTCCACAAATGTGTTTGGGGAAATGGAGGAGGCTTAAAAATATATTCAAGCCAAGAGTCAGTGGGTCACACCTAAAATCTTAGCTGCTCAAAAAGGTGAGATATGGAAGACAGTGGTCTGAAGCCAGCCTAGGCAGAAAATCCATGAGATTCCTTCTCCAAAATAATCACCAGAAAGCCAGGCTGAAGTTGTAGGTTCATGTGGTAGAGTGACAGCCATGAGCAAGCAACTCAGTGTTAGGCCCTGAGTTCAAACTTTAGCACCCAAAAAGAAAAGAAAACTATTCTAGCAAGCTTGTCTTTTATGAACGACCCAAACTCAGAGAAGTAGTTGTAAGTTGTCCCTCCGTTTTTTCCTACAACTGACTTTCAATTTCTGTTTCAGAAGCCCAGATAATTCTGCCACAAATTTACAGAACACTGATAAGCATGTTCTATCTTTTGGGGATTATTTTTTTTGGGGGGGGGTGCTAAGGAGTTCTCCCACAACTACTCTTCAGTGACTAACAGAATAGAAAAAGTAAGAATATTTACACTGTGGTAAATTTTTAAATGGCTCCTATAATCATGCATAAAAATTATAAAAGAATTGGAAACGTTGGGAAGGGGAAACAAAGGAGGAGGCTACAATGCTTGATAAGAAATAAATTGGAAACGTAAACCGGTCTGATTTTTTTCAATGCTTTATAGTTTCTCTTCCAAAAATAAGCAGCATGCAATGTGTCAACTTCTGTGAAAGACTCTTTATATTTCTTATCCTATTTAATATTCACCTGCCAGGTAGAAATTTTTAATGCTATTTTACAGAAAAAGAGGTTTATTCAAGCCCTTTATTCAAGGCTCTGAGTGCATGAACCTGAACCAAAAACGCTCTATGACTGCAAAGACTGTGCCTTTTCTGTATCATCATAATGTTCTCCATATTTTCATACAACACTGGAAAAATAGTCCATCAAGTTCTAGGACTTTGCCATGTATAACGAAAGAAATCTCCATGGCTGTCATAGTTACAACTAATACAGAGAACAATGCCTAAATCAAAAGCAATCATATACTGTCTGACAATGAGCAAGACTTTCTAACTAGTCTTGACATGAAATATACCTAAAAGTAATATCCTGCATTGGATGGTGACAACACAGCCCAAGCTTATTCTCATTCCCCTGGGAATGGATATAAACAGAGTCTGGATAACTCCCTCTACCTCAAAAAGTATCTGAATAGTACTATGTACCATCTTCTGATGTTCCATGAGCACTGACATTCATCATGTCCTATCCCCTATTCAATGAATTTTTTTATTTAATTTTTTTTTCTAATTTCCATTTTTTTAATTTATTTTTTATTGTGAAAATACTGTACAGAGGGGTTACAATTACATGGGCAAGATAATGAGTACATTTCTTATCAAGCATTGTAGCCTCCTCCTTTGTTTCCCCTTCCCATCCCTTCCCAGGCTCCCCCCCCCCCCCCCCCCCCCCCCCGCCCTCCTCACCCACTCCTCCCCCCCCTCCACCAAAGTTGTAAAGTTCGTTTTCAACAGGACAACTTGTACTTCTCATTGTTGCAATGGGTCCACCTGTATCCTTATTTAAACGACTTGTTTTTCCCCTTCCCCTCCACAAATTATATCGACATCAAATACAGTGAAAGCAGGGGTTATACTGTGGGGGAGGGACATACAAAGCAACAAAGAAATAATCTTATAAATGCGTTAGAAACAAATGCATGAAAGAGAACAAAACATTTAAATACATATCTTAGGGTTCATTTTCCTAACATCATCTTATCTGACCTTTTTCTGCTTGACTCACATATTCAATGAATTTAAGAACAGTTGTTTACTTTGTAATTTTACGGCAAAGTTCTCCAAGCTTTTCATAAATATGCCCCATTATAAGCAAAAGAGAGGGAAAAAAATGAAGGGATGGAGGCTTGAGGAGCAGTAAGCACTTGGAGCTAAAACAACCAAAATATGTATATTTAAATACATAGTACACATTAGTATGTATATTTTCAAAGTTGCATAAAATAAGAAATTTGTTAAAAGTATTTATACAGAAACATAAGAACTGCATTTTAAAAGAATTGTATTTTAAAATAATTTTAATTATATTATTGATACACTATATCATTTTATAATATTTTGAGACATAATCCTCATATCATTTGACCTTAATAGTCAAACAATTTTACAACCACTACCACTAATTCCAAAATGTCATCCATCACCCATGAAAAAATTTCTGTCCCCATTAACCATTACTTTCCATTTCTGAAACCTAACATAGAAATTGACATGAGCTTTGTAATATGTGTGTATGTATATATTTATACATATATGTGTGTGTGTATATATATGTATATATATGGCATGATCTCCTGTTCAGAAATGTATCCTTGTTAAAGATTTTCATCAACATGAAAATGTCAACTCATATTCTAGAGTTAAATAACTAAACTTGCCTTTGGCCAGCATAATTTCAGTATAATTTCAAACTCAACGGTTCTTAATACTTCTCAGAAACTAAAAGAACATAGAATTACTATTCACCCATCCATCCATTTTTTTTCAGCACTATTTGAACTCAACTATGTGTCAAGAGCAAGTCTAGATGCTGGTTTCTGTTTTTATAGTATTTGTGCTCAATAGGGGGAAAAACAGGAGATATAATAAATAACATTGATACTACAGAAAACACTAAAAAGGCCAACAGGGCCAGAAATGCTGGGATGAAGGACATGACTGAGGTCTAATATTTCATAAGAAAATAGATAAATGCCTGTTTGACATTTTAACAAGTAAAAACTACAGGAAAGAACAAGTATGAATGACTTGCCTGGCAGGATAGGCAATCTAAATTATTCCACCTGTATTTACTAATTGGTGTGGATAATGTCCTCAAGAAACATTTCAAAATTTATTTTCATACTAAAATAAGGTGGAGTGATGTAAGAGTAAAGGGTATTGCTCTGGAAAAGATTCCAACAAGAAAGAATCCAAAGAACTGTTTTATCTAAACCACCCACAATTTAGAGCAAGGGCTAGGAATTATAGAACTTTTATTTTTGCTTTCAAATTGTACTTATTGCATTATCAGTTTGGGTAATGTAAACTAACATGCCAATTTCAATTTACATAAAAATGTATATATAATTTAGCAAAAAGACTATCTTCCAAATTTACATTATCCCTAATTCAAATATATGTTGCTTGTTTATTTATTTTTTTCAATATTGGAAATCTGTTCTTGGGCTTTGTGAATGTTAGGTATGTAAGTGCTCTACTGCTAAGCAACATTCCCAGTTCCTTAACTCTGTACATTCTATTCCACTAATTTTTCTATTATGCTGGTTCATCAAATACCAAATGTAATATAGATTAGATTTAGTTAAAAAATTCAGGTCACACACCCCACAGTTGACTGTTCTAGTTCAGACTATAAACAACCACATTGGATGGGTAGTGACATACCCTGGCCATGAAATCTCTATTAGAAATTATTTTCCTTTGAACATGGTTACATTCCCCACGTTCTCTGACTATTCTCTCATTTTAAAACCACCTCAAAAGCTAGTATCTGCATGATGTTTTCCTGGGATTCCCAACTGCTCAGTCCTCCTTTCATAGCAATATAATCTTCCAACCCAAAGCACCCAAAGCAAACCTATCAAACCAGGCGTAGATAGATAGCTCATACTTCTAATCCTAGCTACTCAAGAGGCCGAGACCCAGTCTGCCAGCCTTAGAAAAATCCAAGAGACTCTTATCTCCTATTAACCACTAAAAAGTCAGAAGTGGAAGGGTGGCTCATTGGTAGAGTACTAGCCTTGAACAACAACAAAAAAAAAAAAACTAAGAGAAGAGACCAGGCCCTGAGTTCGAGCGTCAATACTGGCTGGCATACTGTGAGACACATCACCGTAAGGTTTTTCTTTACTCAAACTGAGGTAAGCTCTTGTGTAGGTAACAATCTTACCCACCCATCTTTGCATCACCAGCACTTAGTAGTGTGAGGTGCCTAGCAGCCGTTCAAAAAACGCTTGCGCAGAGAATATTGTCCAAATCACTTAAGAAAAAATATATATACATCTTTGTAAAAAGAATCATGAGAAGGCGCCTGTGTGACTTGGATTGCGAGCTGAAATGGGACTACACAAGGCAGGAGAGGTCTGGATCTCGGTTCCCGGACCCGTTAGAGAACATGCTGGTGAGTTCCGGGTTAGATGTAACCCTGTCGGAGGGCCCCCGGCAATCCCCGACCCCTCCGCGTCAGGGCATCACTGGGGGAAGCCTGGCCCACACCCAGCGGAACTCAGGCATAGGCCTCCTCAGCAGGGTACCCGAGGGGAACCCAGGCGCACGCCGCCCAGTCAGGGTGTCACTGGGAACCGGTGGGGGTCTCACCTTCCCATTCGTGGGCGGTTCCTGGATGTAGATGTTGCTCATCCTGGCCAAACGCTCAGAGATGCCGCTCCCTGGAAACGCACGCCGACGAGCGGTCACTAGAGCTGTCCGCCGACCGGTACCGGATTCTTCAAGTTCACTCCGCCCGGGAAAGCTTCACTGGGTCACAATCTCGCACCAGAGCCAGACCGAAGCTAGCGCCTCACGGACGCCGCCATGTTGTTTATGGACCCGAACACCGCTAATCCTGAGAGGGGGAAGGATTCCAATGTCCTCCAGAGAAAAGGCGACAGTTCCCCCACAGATTGACATCAGTTTAAATGCAACTTGTAACAACGTTAAAACACAAGAGTCTGAAACCGTCGGGGTTGTGTTCACTTCACTTTAGGCATGCGCAGTTCACACTCACCTCTTTCCCCCCCCCCCCCGATATTGGCAATAATGGTTCGGACCAGGTGTGTCGTGAAATGTGCCTCTCCCGGAACCTGCATCCGCAACTACTTGGTTCCGCTATCCCTGGAGGCGCCCTAGGCCTTCCTGCTGCGGTGTCGACACGGGCCCCGTGTGGGTGAAAGAGACTGCCTTGACCCTGTGGTGCCTCCGCAGCCAGCGAGAAGAAAACGCATTTTTCCACATCTACTTGATCCAGTGACTTCTGTTACCAGCGACATGGCAGTGCCAGGTGAAGACCAGCAGCGGGATCCCTGCTTTCCAGCTTAGAAGGAAGCGGGTGGGGTCAAGTGGGCTAGGGCTCAGAGGGGAAGGGACAGATTCGTGGCCTTAAAAATCGACAGATTCTGTTGGTTTACCTTTAAAGGTGTACGCTGCAAGTCTAAAGTAAAGAAAGAAACTCTTTCCCGCCCCCAGCCCGTTCAGCTGCTCAGGATTACAGGGAAAGTCTCCTGTAGACGGACAGTGGATTATAGGCCTAGCCGGGCGCCGAGGGACGAGGACCATTGGCCTTAAGTTTTATGTGGCTTAAAAATAAAATCTGAAGTGGAAACACGTGGTTCTCCCCGGGAGCCGAATGCCCTGTGTTGGTACGGAAAGTGCGTTCTGGGGTTCCCTCCATTTCTAGTTCTTCCTGTTGTGTGGCCGCAGAACTTCAGCTTTGCCCTTCTGGGGCTCAGTTTTCCTATCTGTCAAAGAAGGCGCTTTGTTGAGTTCTATGTAAGGTCCTTTCTAGTCCCAGTTTCTGTATCCAAACTCTGAGGACTAAGTTCCCAAAGATGTCCTCTTTAGGGATTCAGTTTCCTAGGAAATTCAGGTGGGATTGGGCACCTCTTAAGTTGCCTTTCCCCACGATGTATCTGCAGGACACTGTTTACACCCCAGCGTGGAGATGCAAAGTGCCCTTTACTGTAGAAAAAGATTCTGAAAAGTATTGTTTCAGAAACGCTTTGTTTAAACCTGCCTCTCCCCGCATTGTTTGACCAGTTTCTTTGATCCGTGGCAGCTTTTCTGAATCTAATTTTACAGGCAGTTTTTAAGGGAAGAATTTTGTGCAGTTTGAGCACATCTGAAACTGAGAGACGTGTGCATTCTTTATTAAGTTCTTTCTGTGTGCCAGGCACCATCCTAGGTAGACATAATTGCTCTTCATACAAAACTTCCAGTTTGGCAGTGAAGAGAAAGACATGGAGCTAGTGTTCCAGCAAGGAAAATTCAAGGTGTTGGGGAGCAGATAGTAAAACATCTAACAGGGTATAGAAGGGACCATCAGCACTTAAGAGACCAAAAGAATTGTGGGAAAGATGAGTACTTATAGGGGAGATTGCAATCAGAGGTAGAGGAAGATGTATGTGAGAAGAGAATATGTTTGCTATGGATAATACTCCACTTGCAAATGTAGGAAAGTGAGTAATTAAAGAGCTAATAACTGACCTTAGATAGTATATCAAAGATTTCAATGATCTTCTTTCACTTTTTCAACCTTGCTGTGAGAAACATACTAATGTTCCCATTTCACAGATGAAGAAACTGGGGGACAGAAAAGTCAAATAACTTGCCTATTTTGAGCTATGAGTGACAAGTCATTTGGGCTCCTCTATACCACATCTGTGAATTCATTTTGCCTCAATATTGTATAACTTAAAATAAATGACAGATATCATGGAGAATAGGAAGCCACTTAGGGGTTTTCATGCAGATGCACACTTTGGATAAATAATTCTGGTTATAGTGTAGTCTGGAGGGAAGTTAGTTAGGAGTAGTTTTGGTGAGCTATGATGGTGTCTAGCTTAGCTTTGATCTGAGAGAAGCAAATAGGTTCGAGATGTATTTTTGATGATAGGATCACTAGAAATGGTTGATTGATTCTATGAAGATGGGAAAAATGGAATATAATTAACCTAGGTCTCACTGTTAGTTGGGTTAGGACTAATTTCTGATAACTCAAAGCACAGTTTAGAATGAAGATGACTTTACTTTGGAGCATGACACTAGTATAACACAAGAATAGAAATATCTGATAGTCTGAGATACAATCCGTCTCTTAGGAAAGAAATCAGTGTCAAAGTCCAAGATGTAGGTATCAGCTATACATGTAATGATTAAAGCTATGGAGTAGATGACTTTGCTCAGGTATAGAGTGTAGTTATGAAAGGAAGATCTATGACAAGTCTAGAGACAAGCCTGGATAGATTGTCTAGGTATTCTCATAGGCCAAATCACTTGTGTTGATCTTAGCATCACACAAGTTGACCCTTTATTGAGAAAGTTTTGTGACTACCTGTGTAGTATGGGCACGCAAAATGATACAACCTTGAAAACTTCAGTAATGGAGATGTGCAATTGCAGAAGGAGGGCTAAAGTAATTTCTTCAAAATTTTCTTTGAAATTCCCAAACTAGGCTACAGATACGTACCTTTCAATTCAAAATAACACTTTGAAGTCTATAGATAAACTGTTTTAACTTAGCAAAAATTGAGACAATAAGCATGACAGGCACTATACAAGTACAATGCAAGTGCCTTAGGAAATACAGATAGAAAATGTGAAGGTAATTTCTTGAATGATCGATCCAGACAGTGTATTAAAGAAAATAGGGCTCCTTTGAAATCTTTAGACGAGATCATCAAAGAGGACAAGTATTATGCTGTGTTCTTTTATTTTAGGAATAAAGGATTCAGCTAGGCATTTCTTGGGGGTAGTTCTACTAGTGATTATTACAAAGTGTGACTATAAGATAATAAGGCTGCTTTCCACATACCACAGAAGAAAACTGACCTAGTCTGTTGGGTGTTCACGTGCCTTAGCTGTTTTTTTTTTTTTTTTTTTTTTTTTTAGCATTGTCTGGTAAGCTTAAATCATTATGTAGATAACAATAGCATATTATAGACCCTTAGAGAAATCTCAGGAGCTTTGTTGTTATTAGAGAAATGGCAGTTGAACATAGGACTCAGTGAAACTTGCTTTGCCCATTTACAGTTGTTGAAATTAGCTCAGGTGTTGAAATCTTGTGAGTGATTCTCTAGGAAGACTTGGCCTGAGATAAGTGGCAATGTATGTTACTGGTGTGGTTGGCACAAAGCTCTAATTTTTGGTGGTAAGTTTTTGTTTGTATTTTGTTTTAATTGGGGGGGGGGGGTGTTGTCATTTATCTTTCTGTGAAGTCTTTAGAGCCAAGTTAGGAAATCACCAATGGCTAACTGAACATTTCTGTCTGATTACCACAATGAGTGAGATTCTTAAAAACATCACTGTAGCATCTCAGAATAGATAGAATTCCAAATTACACTATAATTGTTTTTTCTTAATAAACTATACTGTTATAAACTATACTGTTGGTAATTTATTCTCCAATTCATGTTGTGTTTTTGTGGGGCGGGGGTGGGGGGGCTTGTTTTGTTTTGTTTTTTGCCAGTCCTAGGGCTTGAAATCAGGGCCTGAGTGCTATCCCTGAGCCTCTTTGTGTTTAAGGCTAGCGCTCGACCATTTGAGCCACAGAACCACTTTCAGCTTTTTTGGGTAGTTTTTTGGAGAAGAGGCTCACAGGGACTTTTCTGTCCAAGCTAGCTTCAACCTGTGATCCTCAGATCTCAGCCGCCTTAGTAGCTAGAATTACAGGCATGAGCCACCCTTACCCGGTTTATGCTGTAACAGTAATTTTCATAACCATATATCCTATCATTTGTAGGATTTTATTTTAAATCCATATCTGTGAGTTTTGTAAAATTCTCTTTAAGCCACTTAGTTTTTCAGAGGCTTGGTTTCCTTGTTTCCATAATGAAGGGATCGATGGCTTAGATTTCTTCAGCTTCTAAAGTATTAAAATTCCAGTTCCCCCTCTCTTCAAGAATGAAGGAGGATTGTGTGACAGTGGCTCACTCTTAAAATCCTAGCTATTCAAGAGGCTAAGATCTGAGGGTCGTGGTTCAAAGACAGCCTGAGCAGGAAAATCTATGACTCATCTCCAATTACCCAACAAAAACCTAAAAGTGAAGCTTTGGCTCAAGTAGTAGAGTGCTAACCATGAGCAAAATAGCTCAGAGACAGCACCTAGGCCCTAAGTTCAAACCCCAGGACCAGCACAAAAAAAGAATAAATTACATATTCCTGAAGATGGTTAATCACCTTTTCTATCTTTTTCCTCTCACCACTCTTGCACATTCTCTAATGTGAAAATCTGTGGTTTTGGTTGTTGTTGTCATCTCTTTATATTACACTTGCCTACATTTCCCTGTCTTTCATCTTAAAAGTCTTGTCTGTCATTTCTTCATATTTATTAACAGAACCAGTGTCCTTATGACACCTGCATATTTTCTCATATTTACAGCCATGAGCGCATTATTCTAGACAGCATAGTATAGTGTAGCTTCCTTTAATGAGGGATTTTATTCATCTCCATGACTACTCCAAATCCCAATTCAGAATTGCATCCAGAACAGGTAAATAATAAGTAAGCAGATTTATCTGGTCAGCAGTATTGATTTTTCTTTAGTTCACAAATTAAATTTCTCTGTTATCTTAAACCCGTACCTGTACAGAATCTTTTCTTCATAGATCATTATATGAGACAAGTGGATAAAAGTTTTATGCATTTACTTAAATATTATCTTTCTCATGCCAATAGTTAAAGCAACTCTTCGTTTTGTTTACTTTTATCCTTCTCTTGAAGGCCAGATGATTTTGAAGGTTAATTTTGTATGTACAATTAAGACATCTCCTGTTTTAAAATATTTTGGTTGCTAGATGCCTATGCCTGATGTGTAATCCTAGCTGCTTAGTAGGCTAAGATCTGAGGATCACAGTTTAAAATCAGCTGTAGCACAAGTCTGTGAGACTCTTATTTCCAATTAACCAGCAAAAAGCTAGAGGTAGAGGTGTGATTCAAGGGGTATAGCAAAGAAGTTAAAGGAAAGTAGACTGGCTGCGAGTTTAAGCCCCAGTACACTCTCTTTCTTTCTTTCTTTCCTTCTCTCTTTCTCTCACAAACACGCACACACAAATAATACATAAATAAATAAAAATAATGTGTCTTTGAGATAATTACATTTCATTTAAGATGATCTTTGTTCCTTAATTCCAAAATTTGTCAGACTTCTATTTAAATTTTAATTATCTCCACTCTTATAAACTGTGTCGCCATGAATGACTTCATTTGTAAGTCAGTATGCATTTGTAAAAGTAAGTTGAGAGAGTTAATTCACAGGTGTGGAATTGCTGGTTGAAGGCAATGTGTAAATTTATAGTCCTGATAGATTACACCAGCTTGCTTTCTGTGGAGATAGTTCAGTGATAATTTATACTCTTGGCAGTGACAGCAGTATCCTTACCCAAGCACCCTCTTCAACCTTTTCAATCTTTCCTGTCATGAGAAGTGAAAATGGAATCCTACTACAATTTTAATGGATACTTCACTTATTATAAATAAAGCTGAGTGTTTCAGAGTCACTTCTACTTCCTTTTCTGTGAACTTTCTGTCTACAAATTAATGGTTTGCTGGGTTTTACACAGTAGGAATAATTAACCTATGTTAGTATTGTGAGATGCACACATTTTTTTCACAAAATTTAAAGTGTCTCTTTAGTTTGGTTTTGATAAGGTTTACATTTAGGGTTTTTTTCTTATTGTGACAAAATTTATTACTTTTTAATGATGTTTAGATTGTAGGTCACAATTGAAAGAACTTTGAAGTGAGGATTGGAGAGAGGCTATGAATAACTGTTTCAAACTTCTATAAAGGAGAGGAATTGACACCATTAGGTATCTTAGCTGAGTAAGGGTTTCATAGTGCAATTTTCTGATTTATTTTGACAAGGATTTTGAGTTCTGGCGGACTTAATCAGAAAAGGAAAAACAGGGAGAAAATCCTGGAAAATAATGCTCACAAAATAGACAAAGCCAAGGAAAATATAAGAGTGGCATCATTATCCCTAGGACTGGTTCTCAAAACAGAATAAACTACCCCTTTCACTGTGCCAGTTCTCTCAGACTTATGCTATTATTTGCCTGAGATTAAATCCCAGAAAGAAGCATTCAGGTGGTCACAGAAATTAAAGACAACTGATGCTGTGATCTTAATTTAACTAACGGCTAGTGAGGAAATAGCTAATAGGCAGTTACATCATAAATAATGGTTTTTGTTATATATTTTTATATAAAAGTTTCAACTTTGTTTAAAAAAAGATGGCCTGACTTGAAGATGTTTCATATTTTATTTCTTTTAAAAGTATGATATACTTGAATGATTCGTATCAGTGGTTTTTTTGTGTGTCATAAATGTATTTAATACATGCTGAGATGAGATTGTTTCAGGCCTATCTGTTACAACATTCTTAGTCTGTTTCAGGGACTATAATTGTGCATTTAGCACAGGTTTGTGCAGCATTATTCTGCATCTCTGGTTTCTATGGAAACACACAACATTGACCCGAATTCTCTGAGCTTTTTTTTTTTCTTCTTCAATATGCGGTTGATTTCATAATGAAAAAGCCTCAGATAGTATGAATCCAGCTTTATTCCAGTCATGGTTTTCCTATAATGTGGCATATGCATCCTTATACTATGCAGTAATGTCCATTTTATGGAGACAAAGGGATTGGGCCATAGTGCTCAAAAAGTTTGGACTTAATAAAAAGTGACATGGTGTTTTGCACATGTTAAATGATTTTTTTTTTTAAAAAGGCATTAAATACCATGTCAAATTTGACACTTTACCTTTAAAAGACTGGAGGGTACTGTTGAAGTTCTTCTTAGAAGTGCTCAGCCTGTGAGCTGAGTGGGACAGAGATGATGTGAAATCAATGGAAAGTTCGATCACCACTTGTGGATGAGCACTGCTGCCCATGATCCTGAAATGACCTGAGGTCTTGAAGTCTTCTGAATACAGTGCTTGCGTCTTGTATATTCCTAGCAGCTCGAATCAACCCACTGATTTTCATGGAGGAAAGTCACATTTTATGTTTAAATTGTTCCCAAATGTATTGGTTAAGTTTTTACATTTACATTTTAAAAACAAGCATTCTAGCAAAACTGGTTTTACTAGAGCAATTCAGTATTTGAGAGAAAAATGTAAATTAGGAAAAATAACCATTATATTAACCTCATAATATTAAGTAAATGATTTTGGAGGGATTTTTTTCTTACAAATTAATACTATTTTCTGTTCACACTTAGCCATTTTAATATATATGTTACACTGAGATAGTATCTCCACTTGAATGGTTTAGAACTTAGCTGCCCGTCAGCAAGGAAATGGAATAAGACTGAACTGAGCTTTATTGAACTCATTATTGGAGGTCACTTGGAGGTTAAAATAAATTTTAACTGTGTGTTATTCAGTCATATAAAATAATATTAATAAGATATCTGCTCAATATAGATGATCCTTTAAAACATTCTGCTAAGTAAAATCAGACTCAAAGATAGTGTAATTTCTCCATGTATATGGAAAATTCTTTTTTATATTTTTTTATTGTTTTAGTAAAGGTGAGGTACAAAGTTACATAAGTCAGGTAATGAATACATTTCTTTTTCAATAGTGTCACCTCTTCCCTCATTTTCTCCCAGTTTTTCCCTCCTGACCACTCCCACAAGTTATATATCTTATTTTCAACATAGTGTCTAGTGAGTACCACTGCTACATTTGTTTATACTTTGTCTTAACATTTCTGTGCTCTACCTTACCCTTCTCCAAACAGATAAACTTACATATAAAACCAAAGGTACAGAAAACAAAAATGGTGACAAAGGAGAAAAGAAGCAAAAAAAGAAAGAACGAAAACCTCTTGTTTCCATTTCTTGGAGTTCATTTTGATAACTAGCTATATGCATATATGATCATAAAAAATGATGTTTATCATTGATGTTTATCAAAATGAACTCCAAGAAATGGAAAATTCTTTTTTTTTTTTTTTTGGAAAATTCTTAAAAACAGAATAGAGATAGCCAGGGACTAAAGAGAAGAGAAGAGAGAACTTGTTTAATGGGTACAGTTAATGCTTGCAATGAGGTAAATCTTTTAGAAATAGGAAATGGTTGAATGCTTGTGCAACACTGTGAATATATTTTATTCTACTGAATTGCAACACTATGAATGGTTATGATGGCAAATTTTATGTTGTATATATTACTGCCATTTAAAAGTCAGTTTTAATTTATTTCTAGTACTTAAACTTTCAGTATTGCCTCATATACTACAAATATTTGTAAACGTTTATCAAAATTAGGCACATGACTAGTTTGTTTTGCTGAAATTTGTGGTTGAAATTAGATGCTTCTTATAATATCTAATCATTGCAGCCACTGTTCTGTAATTTCACTGGCAAAGTGCTTACTTAGTATATATGAGCCCATGGTTTGATCCTAGGCACCACACATACACACAAACAGATACACACACACACGTGCACATGTGTGCACATAACACATACACAAAGAAGGAAAAATATATTACTTTAATTTCCCATTTATGAATAGTAGATTAACAGTTTTCACATTTGAATAACAAATATTTTTCCTTACTGTTGTAGAATTCCTGAAATATTCTTGACTCTAATATGAGGGGGTAACACTGTTCCACAAGAAATGTACTCATTACCTTATTTATGTAACTGTAACCCCTCTGTACATCACCTTTACAATAAAATAAAATAAATTTTAAAAATAAAAAGCAAATTTAAGTATCCCTCAAGTGATTTGAATAAATTCAGTTTGAATAAATTGATTTCTAAGAGTCAGAATAATTGAGTAGTATTACTATAATGTATCAGAGATCATTTTTTTTCTATTCAAGAAAGTTTTACAAACAAACATTTCTAATTTCATGTGATAAAGTCTTTATGCATCTCAGAAGACTCATCCAATTTTTTTTTTTCAGGTTGCAACAAGGATAATGTCAGAGCTGGCTGTAAAAAATGTGGCTACCGTAAGTACACATTGTCTATAAAGTTTATGAATTCTAAAAAAACAAAAAAATCTTTCTACTTTCTTTTATTTATAATGAGTCCCTTTCAACCAACACTGTTGGTTTATGTGTTTGTTTGTGCATACCAGTCTTCTAGCTTCAATTCAGCCTGGCACTGTCCATGGATTATTTTTTTTCCTCAAGGCTGGGCTCTACCACTTGAGCCACAATGCTACCTAGGCTTATATTTTTATTTATTTATTTATCTGGCCAACACTGAGTGTATACTAATAATTTGGTCTCTCTATATATAACATATTTGTCATTGTAAAACTGTTTAGGGGGACTAAGAAGGGATAGAAGAGAATGTTAACGAGTAACCAATAGCAAAATATATTTCATCTGGGAATGAAAATGGCAAAACAAAACTTACTAACTGTTGAATAATCCAAGGTTAGGAGGATTGGGCAAAGTGAGGCGTTCAATCTGATTACTGTACATTAAAGATACATTAAAATACCATTGAAATACCATACAGAACAATTGTCATATACTTTTAAAAAAATGTCAAGCAGAGTAGTACCAGGAAGGAGTGGGAGAACAGAGGTGGTGAAGGAAAGTTCATGTGGTTGGAATACTTTCTGTACATGTCTAAAAATTGAACAATGAAATTTATTGAGATTGGTTTCAAAAGGAGGGGAGTGGGTGAATGTGATCAAACTACATTGTATGCATATCTGGACACGTCAGAATTAAACCTTCTTGTACAATTAATTGATGCTAATTTTTTTAAAAAAGACTCAATAAACCTCTCAATACTTTGAAGAAGCCCCACCATTAGTCAGTCCTCCAGATGGGAGGACATAGGGAGTTACCCCTAAACTACGAGGTTCAGAGAGTATCTTGTTTGTGAAGGTATCGAAGTCTAAGAGTTTGGTGATATGGGACCCTATGTTTCATTGTCTTCAGTCTATTTTGAGTTAACTTTTGCATGTGTCCACCTTTCATTCTTCTGTATGTAGAGAACCAATGTCCCTCAACTATCTGTTGAAGAAGTTAGTCTTTTTCAATTGAGAGGTCTTCACACTCTTGTCCAGATTAGATTGAATACTACTGATATTTAGCTTTTACTCAAAGAAATGATAGTATCATATGATACAGTTTCATAGAATTCATAACAATTAGAGCAGTGGGAGTGGAACAATTTTTACTTTAATACTTGGACAAGAACAATTAAGTAAAAAGATGAAAAATTAATTATCTCAAGTGTGTTTACTAATGGCTCAATATGTATAACAAAAACTGAATTATAAGGAAAAGTAGATAAATCAATAACATATTCTAAGTACCTCTGTCAAGTATGTAAACAACAAAATATACATTCTCAACAAATAGTGTATATCCTTATGAAATGCTTACCAACTCTCCCCTAAATTCACTATATACCAAGCCACAAAAGAAATCTTATCAGTCACCAAAGAGCATACATACTAATTGTATTCTCAGATAACAGTGTAATAAATTTTGAAATCAACAATAAGAATAAGGTCTGAAAATTCTATGTTTGGAAACAAAAAAAAAGCATTTGTAAAACTTATAAATGATTCATTTGGAAGGATTTTACAGACTAGCTGACTGAGTCCTTCTGCTCTACTGAGATGGAAACTCCTCCAGCTACTTCAGGCCTTGGCAGGTATTTGCTACAGAAGCAGTAGATGACTCTGAGCTCCAGGCCTTTAACAGAAAGACGAATTCTATGCCTTGGGGCTAGTTGTAGGCTTTGACAGCCACGGTTGCAGTATGTGGTTGCAGGCATTAAGGCTCAAGCTGAAGCCCCACTGTTACTACTTTCTAAGACTCTGGCATGAGACTTCTCAGTTGCTGATCTTGGCCAGCATGTCAGTTTTGCTGTCAGCACACTCGTGTTTGTTCCTGTCAGTTCTTCCCTCGGGTACTTATGACTGCCCTACCCACATGGATAAGTTATAAATATTGGTTATATTATTTTCTGTACGTGTTGGTGTTGTATTCTATTTCTTATCAAGCTTTTTTATTAGCACGAATTAGTTGTACAGAGGTAGTGTCATTATATTTCTATACATGCATACCATGTGCCCATTAGCTCTCCCTCTCCATCACACTTCAATATATCTCATTCCCTCTTAAAATAATTTCAACAGTTTTCATTGTTCTACTTTCATACATGCATATAAAGTACTTTAAACATATTTATCCTCATTCATCTTCCCCTTTTGCTTTGTCTCTTCCCACTGATCCCTGCCCATGGTAGAGTTGATTTTACTTTGTTATTCATTTTTTAATACTATGCATTGATTGTACTACAGGATGCACCATGACATTTCACATGTGCATATTATATTTTAATCAGGTTAGTCTCCTATATTGCTTTCTAGATTTTTTTAAATTATAATATTAATGTATTTTTAGAAGGGGAAAATATAATTCATATTCTGAAATGTATAAGTACTCCCCAAAATGTTTATTGAATTAGAAGTTTCAGGAAGAAATTTTCTTGTAGTACTATGTATGGGGGAGTGGGAAATATATATATATATAGTAACCAACTCTTTAAAAGTTAAAACTTTTTTAATTATTGAAATGAATTGTTTTCTGTTATTCAAAAAAAAATACTAAGTGAATCTATAGTTATGTCATTCTATTTTTTTTTTAATCCAGCTGGTCATCTAACCTTTGAATGCCGCAATTTTCTTCGAGTAGACCCCAAACGGGACATAGTGCTCGATGTCAGCAGTACAAGCAGTGAAGACAGTGATGAAGAGAATGAAGAACTAAATAAATTGCAGGCATTACAAGAGAAAAGTGAGCAATATGTTTTTTACTCCATTTGCTAAACGTATTTCTAAATGTTCCACTTTTTAATCTTATTTTTATATTGCATTTATCATTAAGATGTCTTTTCCGTTCTGTGTATAAGTTTCTGCACAGGTGAGAAATAGACTGTAATAGACTAAGTAATTTGCCTAAGATCAAACACTGCTCAGCAGCAGGCCAACTGTTTCAGATTCCATAGACCATGTTTCTTTATTGTATCTGGATTTTGAAATTAGACCAAAGATTAGATTGTCAAGTCACAATAACCAGCAATCTTGCCTAGTACAAAGCACTTTCTTTCCACTTCAAGACCAATTGGTCAATTTAACAGATGTTCCTACATTATTTTAAACATATACAAAAAAAGATCAGTCATGAAACATTTCTATTTTATGCCACATCTTGTGTATAAAATGGCTTATTCTTGCAATGGGATCAAATTTGGTGCTATAATTTTGTAAACTACATAATTCCATATATTCCATATGGAGGTTTCACACAGAAGTAAAATAAAACCTATTTGACTACAGCTTTAGGTATGGGATGAGAGAGTTTTAACGGTTAAGATCCATTTTATTTTAGTTTTGATCAGAAAACATTAAGCAATGAACTTAGAAAAATGTTTATTTTCCATATTAGTTCCAATTAAGAAGAAATCAAATATCAGGTACTGGGACAAGTTGAAAACAAAGAAGAGAGAAAGGGTCTCAAAGACAACAAATGAAAATCATGTTGTTTATGATAATTCAGTTGGTTGAATTCATGCACGTACTTTTGCTCCTGTTATGCCTTGGTTATAAAGGATTCCCCCCAAAAGCTCAAACGTTGCAGGTTTGATTCCCAGTTTATCTGTGTTCACTAGGGGCTTTGGAGAAGTGAGTGGATCATAAGGACTCTGATTTCATCAATGGATTTACCCACTGATAGATTCAAAATACGAATAGGTAATAGGAAAGGAGCTGTGGAATGTAGGGCCTGATCCTGATCTGAGAAAGTGGATCACTAGGAGAATATTCTTCAGGACTACCCATATCTCATCCTAGGCTTCTTCTGTTCTGTCTGCTCTACAAAATGTTCCATCACTGCCTTCTCCATGATATTTTGCCTTGCCATGGCCCAGAAACAATAATGCCGCCAGTGGACTAAAACTTCCAAAACCATAATTCACAATAAATCCATCCCTCTTCTAAAATGTTTCTCACGTATTTGTTACAGTGCCAAAAAGTCTGATTAATACAACTCTCTACTGCAATATCACTAAAATGACAGCAAACAAGAGCAAAATAATAATTTCTTGTTGTTGTTAAAGGCATAAAACATTAAGATCAAAAACAATTGCAGCTAAATTGTAGAAACAGAAAAGGAGATTGATTAGTGATAATTCTTTGCACAATCCTTTGGCCTTGCTAGTTTACCATTAAAGTCTAGTGTTCTAAGCATCACTTGCTTAGCGCTTCCAGTCAATATTTTGGGCAATCAAGAGTTAAATTTTTTAAAGAGAAGAATCACATATGAAACCTGGGCATAGGTCCATAGCAGTGATACATGTTGAAAAATCTATCTTGGGCATTTTTGTCATACTGTGAACTATATAACTTGTACTCAGGAAAGCCTATGTGGTAGAGCCTACTACACATGTAGGCCATATGGTAGGACAATTCAGTCCTTCATTGGCTACATCATCATAATGTGGCCCATGACTGTATATAAACTAGCAAGCAAAAGAGCTCGACTTGAAACATTCAGACTGTGCATGGAGAAGAAAACAAAAGACATTCAAGGACAAAAAAGAACTTGTAGACATTAAAAATGACATGAGAAAATTGATTGAGTTGGAATAAAACTGAAGCAAAAAGAGAGAGGGGGAAAAAAGATGAATGGAGTATCAGTTTAGGAAATGTTTCATTCAAATGAATCCTAGGAAGAAAAAGTTTTTAGATTGAAAAACTTCTACAGTACCAGTTCAGTGATAAAACATAGACCCACACAAAGTCCATATTTTTGAAAGTTCATTTCATAGAAAACAAGAAAAAGTACAATTCAAGCTGTAGAGTTAGGAGTTAAACAGGGGTCATCAATGAAAGGTCAGGAATTAGAATTGCTTTATGCTTCACTATAGCAGCATTAGACATTAGTAAGATATAGGTAATGCCTTTGGATTTTTTGAAGGAAGATTATGTGTGAATTACTATGGTTTTTTCAACAAAAGTAACCAGATGTAAAAATAAAATAGTAGTTCTTTCAAAATTTCAGTATCAAAATAACCTTTAAAAAGCTTTTTCTCAAAGAGTATGTAGTATCAGGAATAAATATGGAATAAGCTTTAATATAAAGGTGTAGACCAGCCAGGTTCCAGTTGCTCGCACTTGTTATTCTAGCTGCTCAGGAGGCAGAGGACTGGAGGGTCTTGGTTTAAAGCCAGCCTTGGCAGAAAAGTCTGTGTTCAATTGTCCAGCAAAATACTGGACTATAAGCCATGCTTCAAGTAGCAAGAGTGCCAACCAAGAGTGCCACGATCAAAAAAGCTGAGCAAGTACAAAAGGCTCCAAGTTCAAGCTCTGACTAGCACAGGAGAAAAAAGGGGATTGGTAGGAAAGAAGTAGACCAAGATAAAAAGTACATGGATTGAAAGTAGAAAAGAATACAAAGAATAGGAAGACAATATCTATGATACTGTAGATCATTTCTTAAGTATTTTATTCCTTTTCTACTTTTTTTTTTTTTTTTACTAGTACTGAAGTTTGAGTTCAAAGCCCAAGTCAGCTCAGCTTGCTTGCTTTGCTGGGACCCTACCACTTGAGCCATGCCACTAGTCTGGATTTTTGCTGGTTATTTAGGAAATAGAGTCTTGAGAACTTTTCAGTATAGGCTAGCTTAAAATCGCAGTCCTCCAGATCTCAACCTCCTGAGTAGGTAGGGTTATAGGTGTGAGCCACTGGTTCGTGGGAGTGATTTGTCATTGTTGTTTTAATACTATTTTAAGAGGGGTTATTTTCTTGAATACCTTTTATAGATAACTCCTTGTTATGTACATATAGGAACACACCTTATTTTTACATGTTGATTTTGTATCTTGACTGAATTCACTTATTTAAACCAGTTTTTTTTTTCTGAAACTTTCAGAGTTTTTTGCATACAAGATTATGTCATCTGCAAAGAGATATTTTTCTTCTTTCTTTCCAATTTAGATGCCTTTTCTTTCCTAATGGCTCTGATAAGGGCTTTCAGTACTATGCTGAATAGAAAGTATCATGTCATTTCTAATGTCCACAAGTTCTTTACCTTAAAAGAAAAGCTTTGAACTTTCCATCATTATTATGGTGCTAGTTATGGGCTCGTCATATATACCCTTTATCAGAACAACATATATTCCTTTATAATTGTTCATTTATTGTCGAATGCTTTTTTCTATGCCTGTTGAGATGATTATTTGGTTTATATATCCTTCATTCTGTTCATGTTGTATAGTATATTCATTGATTTACATAAATGTGACTATCCTTGCATTGCAGAAATAAATCCCACTTGATAGCTGTATGCAATCTTAATATTCTGTTGTATTCCGTTTGGTACCATTTTGTTGGGGATTAATGCATACATCTTTATCATGCATAATGGCCTATAATTTTGTTTTCTTGTAGTGCCTTATTTAGCATTTTAATTAGGGTAATGGTAGCCTTGTAAATAAATTTTGACATTTTCACTTGACTTAATTATTTGGAAGTATTTGAGAAGAATAGCTTTAGTGCTGCCTTAAATGTGTGATAGAGTTCACTGGAGAGGTCATCTGTTTGTATACTTTTCTATATTGAGAGGGTTTTGATTACTGACCCAATCTCTTTACTTTTTACTAGTTTGCTTATATTTTCCATTTCTTCATGAATCAACTTTAGCAAATTATGTTTCTAGAAATTCATCCCTCTTTTTCTAGGTAGGTCAAAAGCTATTGGAATAGAAATAATCCTTTATAGCCGGTGCCAGTGGCTCATACCTGTAACCCTAGCTACTCAGGAGTCTGAGATCTCAGGATCTCAGTTCAAAGCCATCAGGAAAGTCCGTGAGATTCTTTTCTCTAATTAAACACCGGAAGTGGTGCTGTGGCTCAAGAGGTAAAGCACTCACCTTGAGCTGAAGAGCTCAGGAACAGCGCCTAGGCCCAGAGTTCAAGCCCTGCAACCAAACAAAGAAAGAATCCTTTGTATTTTAATAGACATCCACTGTAAATCTCTTTTCTTTTCAGTTTATTTATTTGGGTCTTTTCATTTATTTTTTATTTAGCTAAAGCTTTATTGATGATGTTAGTTTTTTAGAAAACACTCAGGTAAGGTATAGGAGAGAGAAGCCGGAAGAGTACAAATTGCAGGCTAATCTGGATTACATAAGGAGTTCTGTTCTTTAATCTTTTTTTAAAACGACTTTTCATTTCTTTTCTCCTCTAATCTTTTATTTCCTTCACCTAATGAAGCCAGTCTTTTTGACTGAATTTGTTGGTATTTGGATTTTTCTTTTTGTTGCCAGTTTGTGTGTATGTGTTGTGTGTGCACATTCATGCATGTGTGTTTTATCTGTGATAGAGATTAAACTCAAGGACTTGTGCATAGTAAGCTTGTATGTTCCTGGTTATCTTACCTGTGTGACTATACCTATTGTGGACAATGGACATTGAATTCCCCTACTATTATACAGCTGCCTCTTTCTTCTTCAGTTCTATTACTAATCGCTTTATGTATTCTGGTGCTCTGATGTGGAGTGCTGCATGTATAATTATACTTGTTACATGTTCTATTGAATAAGTCATTTGTCATTGTTTTTATGACATTTTCTCTTGTGACAGTTTTTGGCTTCAAGTATGATGTAAGTATAATCACGGGTGTTCTCATTTGGTTATCATTTGCATACAGTATATTTTTCCATCCCTTTGTTTTTAGCCAATTACCCTCAAAGATAAAATGAGCCTCCTGAGTGGCTTATGATTGATTCTTGTCTTTTCATCCATTTGTTCATTCTCTGCCTTTGATTGGGACATTTAGTCCATTTAAGATTAAAATTTTGCTAGGAGAAGACTTCTGCCATTTTATTCACCATTTTTGTCTGGTGTTTGCTTTTGTTTCTTCCACTCCTCATTTGTTATTTGATGTTTTTCTGCAGTGTTATATTGATTCCTTTTCTTTTGTGTATCTATAGTATATATTTTTCTTAGGACTCTTATAAATCATCTACACTCATGTACAAAAAAACTATGCTTTTACTGTTATATACACTTTATTATTCATTATTCATATCACAATTTACCTCTTTATATTGTGTGCTCATTAGCTAATTTATGATTATTTTAATAATTCTGTATTTTAATTTCTGTATTAAAGTTAAATGTGACTTATATACCATTATTATATTAACAAATACAGTATTGTGTATTTGTCTATGTATTTACCTTGACCAATATGTTTTAGACATTACTTATTGATGTTTCAGTTTCCCCAGTTCTGCCCAGGAATCTGGTCTTACCCGTAGCACTTAACACAGAAGGCTATGAGGTAGGTACTGACATCACTGATGACAAGGAAGATAAACATTTAGTCAGTCGAATGACAGGCAAAATGCTCACAGCAGCCTGAAAGTGGAATGAACGGTGTTTAATGTTTAATTTGGTCCTGAATAGCATGGAATTCTCTCATCACAAGCTAATAACTAGAAGAAATCAAATACTTGATGTCTCTCTTTGAGTCTGGTCTAGAATTTCTCCCATGGTTAGGGGAAAATAGCACAATTAGGTCCTATTTCAAATGATAACAAATAGGCTGATAATGAGGATGACATGAGCCCACTCCCCCTATATCAACAAGACAATCTCATTTTTACTGAGAATATAATTGTCTCTATCAAACCTAGTCGCCAACAGACAGATATACAGAAGATCTTTAAGAAAAACAAAGAAACTCCCTGGAAAAACAGACATGCTGCAAGGAGCTAAACCCCTTCTAAAAGACTTTGGTTTCCTGGACCTGCTCAAAGGGAAGACAGACAAGCTAGAAGAGTACACTTCTACCCAGCACAGCCCATCCCAGTGCTGTTTTCCATCTGAGCCATACCATCCAGCACTCAAGTTGTCCAGTGGCAAGCCCCCCAACTATACCACTATGATCACAATGTCACCCCTTGCATACAGACGGGGAGCAGCACTGAAAGAATGTCAAACTGATTTTTTTGTACCTTTCTTTTTTGTTTGTTTGTTTCAACTGGACATGACTTGGAGCAAACAGCCATTCAATGTATTTACCTGTGGAGTAATCACCCATAGATCTTTCTGAAGCTACCACAGAAGAAGCACCACTTGCTGGTCTGGTGGCCTCTGTTCCACATCTGAGAAGAGTCCTAAGGATGATTTTCTGCGTTGACTACCTTAAGCTTCTTGAGGTTCACAGTTTTTCCACCCAGAAGAGTTGTTCCCATGATGGACACATCTCCTGAGAAGCTGGAATGACTGGTTAGACCAAAGCTCCCCCACTCTCCTCAGGAAACCTGGCCAGCAAGTGTCCACTCCTCTGGCTTCAGGAAAACTTCTCTCCAATTTCATGTCTCAGCTTAGGATGTTTTCATGCATATGTCATTGGGATGAGTAAGCTACACTGTCTGGGGATAGAACCCAGGAACTCTTAAGACAGTCAGTCTACCACTAAGCTACATCTTAAATTCTGATATATTTTGTTTTCTTTTTTGTAATGCTTTCTTCCCTCATCCCACCTTGTCTTTTTCCTTTTGCCTTTTATTTTTCACAATTTAGAAAGCCAGTCACTTTTAGCATTCAAGAAAGATATGGTCCACTCCAGACCCAGAAAGAAAGGATAACTAAGAACTACAAGGTGTTAAAAAAAATATTCCCCAAAGTTCAGAAAAATTTTCCTTCATAATACATTGTATCTTTGGTCGGGACTTTTTCCCCCTTATTGTCAGTCACATTTCTCTAATCTTTGTATATTAAAAATATGACCATTCACATTGTCTTACACTATAAAAAAAAAAGATGTATCTTTAAAGGTTCTTTTGTTCGGCTTTACTACATGTTCCTATTTTTGTCATCTTCTCTATCTAACAAACAACTAAAATTAACATATTTACACACATAACAAATCAGTATAAACTCATGGTGACCTGATTTTTCCAACTACCTTTTCATCCACAGGAATAAATGAAGAAGAAGAAAAGAAAAAAGAGAAAAGCAAAGAGAAAATCAAATTGAAGAAAAAGAGGAAAAGGTATTTTTAACAGCATATTTATAAAAATAAAGTTACAATGTTAGTCCAAAATGATTATAAAATTTTTTATGTATTAATATTCAACAGTTGTAGTTTTATACCAGTAACTAAATTTTTAAATTGGACACATGTCTAAAGTCTTCATGTACAGTTTGTTCTCATATAGATGAAGCTGGAACTTAAATAGTACATGTCTACTATTAATAGAATCCGTCAAGCTAAAAATACCTTCAGATTTTTCAGAACCTTTACCAGCTACCTGTGAATTTTACTGTTAACTTTTTAACAACTAACTGACTAATTGATCAAGAGTAGTAAGAATGAATATCTTCTTTGATTAATAACTACAGTTTCATTTGTTCATATGATTATAAATACACACATCTTGACATTGCTTAGAGCACTTGGTCATATTTAGATCTGGTTTGGACCTAGTTCTCACTAAATTTATAGGTCCTATAATTCAGGTATTATGACTATAGTTTTTATAGAGCATTTAATAGCATGTTTTAATTATAGATAATTTATAAAGTAAAAAGGTTTTCTTTTTGTTATTGGGAGTTAAATAGTAATGTTTTTAACACAACTGCTAGAATCATAGAACTCAGGGTTTCTGACTGGTTTATTGTTGGATAATTTGTGCTAACACAGCAAGGTGAATTGCTTACAACAAATGAGATTATTATCTTCCAAATACCTTCAGATATTTTCATTTTATATTAGACCATTTATTCAGATCTCTCTATTTCAAGCCTCTCAGAACTTAGGGCCTGAAACTAAATTAACTTTTCTATGCATGTAGAGATAGTGCCATTTAATACCAGAGCTTAAAATTCTGCCTTAAAAATGAGAATCCAGGAATGAGCAAGCCAAAAATAGACAACTAATAATCATCTAAAAACAAGAATCTATAATCAGAATCCAAGGGGTCAAGTCAAACAAGGTATTTAAAACAGGAAATGAGACAAACTTAACAAAAATAGAGCTAAGGCAGAACCACAAGACTAGATGAGAAGATAAGCTTTGCAAATGGTTGAAGTCCCAAGTAGATAGACAGACCAGACAGAGAGCACAGGAGTAAAATGAAGGATAGCTCTGAGTTGGGAGTTCAAGACACAGTTCCTTAGACACAGAATCACTTGAAATCTTGTGGTCATATATGATTGCTTTCAGTCTGGGTTTACCTGCTGAAATTTAGGTCAATAAGCTAGCTAAAAACACCTGTGTTATTTTAAGTGAACTCAGTTTCTGACTTGTCACGTGTTTTTGTTTTGAGTGTAGTTAGAATGTTAAACACCACTTAACATAAATCTACAAATGACTTTTTCTTTTTTCATTTCTTTCTATTAGCAGTGCAGGAATTCTATTTTTTTCCAATTTCTTGTCAGAATGATATTAGAAAATAAAGTCTGATAAAAAGCCAACCTCACTCATATCTGGAGTAGTTAAAAGAATCCTCTCTGCATCTAGCAGAAATTATTTTGCAATTCAAGTGTTCATTGTATCACTCTGCATGTAAAGAAAGCCCTATGTTAATGTGAAAGATCAAATGAGTTAGAAATGTGCTTTTATTTTGTTAATTTTCAGCTTTTATATGGAAGCACAATTGCAGCCTTTTATATATGCATATAATTGCATCGTTTGTGGTTCTTGTAAGAAAATATGTTAACAAGTTAGATATACCGTGTATATAATGGAGGTTGAAGAATAGTGCTTTGTTTGTCTTTTAAGATTTTGAAGGGTACTACAGCATGAAAAAAAATGAAAATCATAGGAAAAGAATTTCATCTTTACTGAATTGAAAATTCACAGTTGAACACAATAGAGGTGGTAGTGTTGACAAGTTTCTGTGACCAAGTACCAAAAATTCTGAATTTAGCATCTGAAGTGAAAACAAAGCACATTTTGAGTTTATGTTTATATCCCCTTTTTATTCCAAGAGAAGTTATGTCAGCTAAAATCCCACTTAACATTACCTAATCAGTTATAAATTTTCAGTGTATATTATTGCCCATAGGTCTTATTCCAGTTCCACTGAAGAGGACTCTTCAAAACAAAAGAAACAAAAATGTCAGAAGAAGGAAAAGAAAAAAGAAAAAAAGAACAAATCAAAAAAAGGGAAACATCACAAAAAGGAAAAAAAGAAGAGAAAAAAGGAAAAGCATTCTTCTGCCCCTAATCGTTCTGAATTCAGTAAAAAGTAACTGAAACTGTGACCTAAGTCGTGAAATTTAAAAATTCATTTGCTCTTCCTTGGAAAGTATTGTATAATTATGCTTTGCAGTAAATCCCCTGCTTTTCCGTATGTATATTTTTCATATGTAGAACCATCATCTCTCTGGCTTTATGTCAGTCTTGTTACTTAATAGCCATACTTCAGGACATAGATATTTGTACATACAAAACATATTTTTAGTACTTGTGTCTCTGCATGTTGTCTTATTTTTTGTAAGCTGATTGTGAAATGGCTTCCCTGCTCTAATCTAGCAGTTAAAAGCTGCTGAATCACGTGTCCGCCTGCCAGTGAGGAAGCTAGCTAGGAGGTAATGATGTGCTCTTGATAGTGAAATTTTTAAGAGCTTTATGTACTGTGATGTAATGTAGAAAGATAGTGAAATTCTTAAATCTCTAGGATTTTGTTTTTTAACTATCATAGGAGACAAGGCTTTACTGGGTTTGAGTAATACTTTTTAAATGAATGGTAACTGCAGGAAGATAGGGCATTTATAATAAGTTTAATTGTTTTACACAATGCCAAGTTTCTAGTACCTGCCTCCTTTGTTTTTTGTAACAATTGAAGCATTTCTTCCTGAGATTAGTTCATCCTGTTAGAAAGTAGCAATGTGGGTCAGGATTTTTAGAATGGACTCCTGAATTGTGTGACAAATGTGCCATATTGGCGTCTTACAGTGATACCTCAAGCACAGAAATTTTGTTTAGGAAGACAGGAAAATCTTTATTAGAAATTATTTTTACTGTATTTAGTATGTAAATTTTATGAGGCTTTGTTAGTAAATAGTGTGGAGATATTTTATAAATGTTATTAGCACATATACTTCTTTGGTCTGAAATGGTTTTTAATTCTGAAGGAAGTTTCATACTGAACTCCTGATTTCATAAATAACCAAGTTGAAGCGTTGCCTCTTTTTCACTTCTGTCACAGATCTCAGTAGCAAGGGCAAAAAAAAATTCAGAATTTTATTGTCCTTTTCAAAATTTAAGAGCCAGGGAGTTGTATCATGAAAGCCTTTATATAATAATTTTATATATAAATGTGCATTTCCAAACACTTGTTAGCAGATATAGATGTTTACCTTTTTCATTTCATTGTGATAGTATTAATTAGTTTAACATCTTAGTATCCTTGATGCCCAGTAAGTTTGATACATATTGTGCTGTAGCAGCATTGAATGTCAACCTGTTATCATGACATAGCACCAACGATGACAAGTACCCACTGTGGTGCACTTGTAAACTTCCAAATTGGTAACTTGCAAATATGGCTACAGTTAAATTCATGGTGGTGAAATCAGATAAGTACACTTGGCCTGCCTGGCTTGTAGGTTTCCTGATCCTCCTTCCCCCTGGAACCCTGCTGGCATGCCCTGAGTAAGACAGAGGAGTCTCACTCAACTCCTCTTAATATACACATCCTTGGGAGTCTGAACCTACATTCTGTCCTCACATTGCAGCCATGCTTCTTGCTTTCCAGTCACCTAATTTACTGATTTGGTTCCTCAAAAATGAATTCTTCTGTTTCGGGTTTAATCATTTGCTAGGAGAGAAACATAAACCAATTATATTTGATTAAACCTTTGCTAATTTTATGAAAATACAGTTCTTTTGTTCAAGATTTACATAAATAAGTAAATATAAATAAGGAGAGCTTTTTTCCACAATGATTATAGCATGTTTTAAGAGATGACCTCTATCCCCCTGGTTGTGAGATGATTTACATTGTCAGATGGTTAGTGATAGTAGTTACAGTGAAAATTTCATGAAATTAGTTCATAAATTTTACTTTTAGTAATTGTAAAGATTATAAATTGTCTCATTATGTTTTTTCCTGAATGGTAATACAGTGATTCCAAATACTTATCTAAAAGTAAGCCCTTTTAACTAATATAGTACAGAAAAGTTCTAATGGATCAGTAAGTTTTCTCCCCAAAATAATAGAATTATTCCCTGGTAGATTTCCTGTAATATCAGCAAGGTTTATGAAAAATCTCATCTGAATAAGCCATTTATTTTTACTAAATAAGATGATGTAAGTGGGATTGGATGCAAGTCTCACTAATACAGGAAGAGTTTTAACATTTCTTCCTAGGCAGTATGTAACAGGAAAAACTAAATTTAAGGGTAATAATCTAGATGTCCTGGCCATTTTAACTGCTTGTATAACCCTCAACAAAGTGATTGAATTTTCCTAGACCTTCTTTACCTTGAAAATATTGTACTTATCTCAAGATCATGTCTAGTCTCTAATGTATGTAGTCATTGATATTTTTATAAAATCTAAATAGTATTCATTTTAGAAGTTACAGTTAGTATTCTATAGTAGTAAAGTTTAATTTTATTTTTAGAAGTTGCTAAATCCATTGAGTTCTTTAAGCGGACAATGATATTTGGTTTAGTTTTTTAACACCCAGTTTATGTCATTTTTCATGAGACAGAATATATTTAGATTTCCATAAGCAAACTAATGATCACTTTGAAAATACTATTTCTAGGCTGATGGGCTTGCTCACAATTTCCCTACTTCTTTTCTCTGTATTATCTGTTTTCTAAGAATTCTCAGAGGTATTCTCAGTCCTTTACACTTAATATTCTCCATTTACATCTTTAGTTCATTGTGGCCAAGGCATCAATAAATGAGAAGTAAAAACAACTATGTGTCTGTACTTACTATTCTATCTTAAATTATATTCTTAGTTACCTTCAGTTGCAAAATTGGTGAAGGAGTTAATAATATAGGTAAAAATGTCAGTGAGTCCACTTCAGCAAGCATTTACCTAATACCTGCAATGTAAATACAGGTAAGTGGTAGGGATAGTTATTTATTTATAAGACATTCCCCTAGGGAGTTCACAATCTAAGTAGGAGAAGAAACACTGGAAAGTGGCATCATACAATAAGTTCAGTAACTGATGTGAACAGGGGCTCAAAGAAATAGGTTTTAGAGAGTAATGCTTGGATTGCAGTGTGGTTGAAGATGGAGTAGAGAGAAGAGGGAGCTTGGCATTTCCTAACAAAATGAGTGCAAATTGTAAGCAATCTGGTGTTGCTACTCTCATATATAAGGCAGGAAGATGTAAGAATCATGGTTTCCATTTTAGGTTCTAGGGGTATAAAGGAGCTCTTGTGTCCCCTAATGAGGATCTTGGGCTTTTATTGGCTTTTGATTTCATCTATATTATAATCCTAATCTACCGTTTTAAAAAGATGAAAATGCTATATTATTAGAAAAGTTTCATAGAAAATAACTTCACTTTATGCTTTATTATTTGTATCATTTTGTGGACCACTCTTCTAAGTGCTAATTGTGTTTATCAAAAATGTGCAGTAATTCGTATTGTCTAAAAGTTACTAAAACTTAAACGATAATTACACGTGCATTTTTTGGTGTATTTTGCTAGCTTATTTTTATGGCTTAAATTTATGTATTTATTAGGTCCAAACAAATCACTTAAAGCAGAATATATTTTTCAATGTGTATACTCTGCTGTAACAATAAGGCTTGCTTTAGTATTTTGTCTCAGTTTATGAATCACAACTATAAAGATAAACCCATTGGTGCATGGTGGGTGCCCAGGGCTGCTTCCTCCAGTAACCAAGAGAGAAGCATCTTCAGCAGGAAGAACATCCAGGACTCTGGCTGATCCCTAGACCTGAATTCAAACTTCCTAGACAATTGGTGACCAAGAACAGTAGATTTCTTGGACTACTGCATAGCAACTCCAATTGTTAAGCCCAGAGTCTTGACCTCACTGGTCTTCTCTCAACTTCTCTAAAAGTAGAGTATAACCAAACTAAAATTGGGATGCCTCTTCTGCAGCACAACCTATGATGCATCCAACCATGTCTAGCCTGTTTTGTTTCTCCCACAAATTGGAAGGAGCTGAGGACAATGAGCATGTTGTTGCTCTAAATTCTGTGTCATTTATGGCATCGCCCTTCCCCTTGAGCTGCAAAAGTAGATCCAGTGTTAATCTTTCAGCCTAAAGTTTCACATCAAACAACTTAGTAAAATTATTTTTAGTTGCTGAAGACCATAGCATATTTTCTGAGAACTTAACAGTGTAAAAGATCAAAAGTACTCATGATAGCTCAGAACTTTCACAAAAGTAAAGACCTTTGCTTTTATCATCTCATGAAATGTCATTTTTGTAATGAAAATTATTAACTTTCAAACCACATATACTCTAAGCAATTTAATCTTGCAAAATTATCCTTTTTTGAATGAGAACTATAACTCAAGTAGTTGATTATATTACAATATTTATATATTACAATATATTACAATATTACAATATTTTACAATATTACAATATATTACAATATATTATTATATATTGTAATATATTACAATATATAATATTACAATATTATATTACAATAATTATATTACAATAATTATCCCAAGGACTCTTCTGTCAATATAGACACATAGCTATTTAGATTAATTAATGAAATAAAAATATAATCCTACAGTGATACTAGCCTCATTTTAAGGGCCCACTAACCACATGGGTTTAGTGGCAACTGTACCAGACAATGCAAATATGAAAAGAAGATTTCTATCATCTTGAAAAATCCTTTTCGATAATGCTGGTCCAGAGGGTTCTTGGTAGAAACTTTTACAACCTATTAAGGAAAAACCTCAAACTTGAATCCAAGAACAGTAGGGCATTCCTTTTTAATGTTAGACTAGAGAAACTGTTTGGCACATTTTGAAAGACCAGTCCTCTGACTAACAAAGCCTTATACAATACAGGAAACCTGTGCAGCAAAGCTGACTTACAATTCTTCCTTTTCTTTTGTTGAAATCCATTGTAAAATCAGATCTAAGTTCTTACAAAAGAAATTATAGATAAAAACTCTTTTTAAGGCACTTATAATTTGCAGAAATGACATACTATGGAACTAAAGAAACTAGTTTTATAACTTGCAAACAGATTCTACAGGAAGTTTATCAGTAAAGGATTTTTATTAAGGTTGCCCCTTGAAACACAGAAAACATTGTATAGATTATGCAGTGTGATATTTTTGTTATTGAATATTAACTTTATAATGATAATGTATTTCATGAAAATCATCCAAAGTGGTAGGGACTGACATTTTTTCTTTTTCATTTTTTAAAAATAATGATTTTTAAGTAGTATTACAAAGGTGTTTCAACTCAGCATGTCATTTTAAGAATACAGTGCATCTTGATCAGTGTCACCATCTTCATTCTCCATCTGTCTCAATCCCACTAATCCCTTCAAATTACCTAATACTATTTTCACATATGTACATTGACTACACCCTTCCTCTCTCCATTTGTCTGTCAGAGGTTGATTTCTAAGAAACTTAAGACCATGACACTCTAGTTCAAAAGACAATTTCCTGAGAAATTGCTTATCTAATGCCATCACTTATTGAAAAAACAACAAATGAACTAAAACATTTGCCTGTTTTAAAAATTGTAAAATGCTGGTAGTGTGATAATCTCATTTGTTGCTTGCATAATTTGTAAATTCATTAATTTCTTCTGAAGAACTAGCATAATTTCCTGCAATAGAAACACCTTAACAAAAGTGAATGAATGTAGATGACAATCTATCAAAACCATATTGTTCAATGAATTAATCAAAAATGCAGTTGTGTTTTATGTTGTGAGTGATGAATATTGAAAAAGCAATATTTGAAACTATAGTTTGAAATGCATTCTTTATTCTTGCTACAGCTCCAATAATCTTTTAAAATACAGGATTTTTCACTAATATGCAGTATTGATTTGTGTTGTATCTGTTGTTTTTTCTTGAATTATATCATCAGCTTCATAGGATGTTTCATTTGTTGAATTTGATGTTGCATGTGAAACGAAGGGTCTTGTTTTTGTATTTAAGTAGTCTGCAAATACACAAACAACAGGAAATTATTACTCAAAATTGTGATATAAAAGTTGCTTTTGACGGGCTGGGAAGGTGGCTCAGTGGTAGAGTGCTTGCCTTGCATGCATGAGGCCCTGGGTTCAATTCCTCAGCACCACATAAACAGAAAAGGCTAGAAGTGGGGCTGTGGCTTAAGTGGTAGATTGCTAGTCTTGAGCTGAAGAGCTGAGGGACAGCGCCCAGGCCCAGAGTTAAGGCCCCATGACCAGCAAAAAAAATAAATAAATAAAAAGTTGCTTTATGAAATTTGTACTTAAAGTTTTGAAGTAATATTGAAAATATTGCATCCTGAAAGTACTGTGTAGAGATTCATAGCTCAGTCATTTCAAGGTTGTTTAGTCACAAAAGCAAATTTTATTTCCATGCATACCTTTCTCCATGCTTCTATGAGAAACTATGCATTTTATAAGAATGTACCATTTTCGGAATCTTTTAGTAGAAGTAAAATTACCCCCATCCTCTGCATAAAGTGAAATAACTGCATTAAAGCCAATCCTATAAATTTGCAGCAACCCTTGTAAGCAATTTAGGTGTGTTCAAACACAAACATGTTGCCACAATTTCATTTATATGTTGCATTAAATGAGTCTAAAATTAGCAAAATAGAAGAAATTATTTATAATTTGCAGAAACTAGATTTTTTAAAGATATCTAATAATACTAATTGATAGCATAAAATGGAACAAGAGAAATGTAAAATTCACATATATTCTTCAGGATGTTTATCAGGAAAGGATTTTTGTTAGTTACCTATTGAGATACAATAAACAATTATAGTGCATATTGTGATTTTTGTTATGGAATATTAATTTTATTTGTAAAGAAAATGTTTATGTACCTAGAAAATCTTTTTTATTTTTTTTTCAGTCATGGGGCTTGAACTCTGGGCCTGGGTGCTGTCCCTCAGCTCTTCAGCTCAAGACTAGTGCTGTACCACTTGGCACAGCACTACTTCCGGTTTTCTGTATTGTTTATTGGAGATAAAGAGTCTCATAGCCTTTCCTGCCTGGGCTAGCTTTGAACCACGATCCTCAGATCTCAGCCTCCTGAATAGCTAGGATTACAGGTGTGAGCCACCATGTCTAATGTCCCTAGAAAACCTTTTGTGCATCAGTTAAGACAAATTGATAACGAAGAAATAGGTGGCTATTTAATAAGTTATTATGGCATTTGTATCTTATGTAAGCACTTATTTAGACATCTAAATTTTTAATACTTTATTACAATTTAAGAAAACCTAAAAATTATAAGATGATTAGTTCAAGTCCTTCATATTTCTTAAGATATATAAATTTATAAAATTAGAATTAAATTTTTGAGTGTTTCTACTCCATCATATCCAGTTCTTTTTAATTGATTGATTGGTTGGTTGGTTGGTTGATTAATTGTTTGGTTGCTTGGTTGTCAATACTGGGAATTGAACCTAGAGGTATCAGTATCAACTTAAAAAAAAAACGGTAAAAAATGGAAAGACTTGGAAAAAATCATATTAAGTGAAGTAAGCCAGACCCAAACGAACACAGGTCCCATGGTTTCCATTATCTGCAATAATTAGTATACATCTAAGATAAACATCAGATGAGCAGAATCACTCAATAGCTACATACATATAACCATATAAGATGATGCTAAGCGAAATGGATACAGAGGGGGCTTTGTTATTTTTAATGTACTGTGTGATTTCTTTGTTTCTGTTGTATGTTCTTCCCCCTCTTGTCACTGTATTTAAGCCTGGTATTGGATATTCGTTTATTTGACTTAGGGAAGGGAAGGGGAACAACAGAATGGTGAGACAAAGGACAAGCGGGAAGCAATGCAACAGCAATATTCACAAGGCACTATGCTGGAAATGATCTGTACTACTTGGTGGAGGAGGAGGGAAAGTAGTAGAAAATTGAGGGAAGGAGTAACAAGGTTGACAAGAAATGTACTCATTACCTTACTTATGTAACTGTAACCCTCTGTACATCATCTTGACAATTAAAAAAAACTGGGCAAAGAAGTCAGGATATCAGGATATTATTTCCTAACTTAGTTATGCTGGGGTTCTCTTTAAATTATCTCCATTCTGACAACTTTAGTTTCTGTTATTTATTTCTGTTGCAACAATTGAAGGAATTTATCTAGCATGTCTGCTGCCCTCTGAGGTATAAAGCTTTTTAAAATGACATTCCAGTATTACAGATTCTACTTTCACTAGCACTTTTAAAGACCCTCACCTCTCATCTCTGACTCATTTACTTGCAAGCTGAATGCTTCCAGTAGTGTTAAGGACAATGCTAATTCCTTAGACTGGCTTTCTAAGCCAAAGCAGTTTCCCTAACATAGCAAAGATATGGTACCAACCCAGACACCCCTCAAGAGATGAATGGATTAAGAAAATATGAAACACACATACACACAGTGGAATTCTATACTTCCATCATAAAGAATAGCATTGACCCATTCATAAGGAAATGGAAAAAACTCGGGGGAAAAATCGTATTAAGTGAAGTAAGCCAGGCCCAAAGAAACAAAGGCTCCATGGTTTCCCTCATTTGTAATAATTAGTAAATGTCTAGGATAGTCCTAGCAGAGGATCACAATAGCTCAATAGCTATGACTATATAGAATGATGCTAATCTAAATGAACTCCAAGAAACGGAAACAAGAAGGTTTTTTAATGTACTGTATTATTTCTTTTTTTCTTTTTCCCCCCTTTGGTTTATCCCCTGTTGTCACTGTTCTTAATTTTGGTACCCTGTAATTTGTATATAGGTTTATCTGATTTGGGGAAGGGAAGGGAAATAACAAAATGATGAGACAAAGGACAAAGGATGAACCAATGCCACAGAGATACAAGATACACTATTGAAAATGAACTTTACAACTTGGGGGAGGGGGAAGGAAAATGTGAGAGGGGACCTGGGATAAAACAAGGGAGTGAGTAACACTGTTCAACAAGAAATGTGTTCATTACCCTACTTATGTAACTGTAACCCCTCTGCAGTCACCTTTATAATAAAAGTACAAAAATAAAACCCAAACCAATTCTCTATGTGAACAGGAAAGATCTGTTAATAAACACAGAAACACTTCTAGTGTTCACTCTTATCCCACCACTTGTCAAAATTCAAAGGCACTCCCAGGAAACATTCCACTAGTAATTCAGAGTCTGGAGGTAGGAAAAATGACTATAATAAATTGAGACATAGTGATAATGGGTGTCCAGATAATACCACTTTGGGATAATTTTAAAATAAAGAAAAGACCTTCTAAGCAACCTGTTTTTTCCTACTTTCCCTGTGATAAAATAGAAAGTAATTTCTTAAATAGGAATAGAAGCAGCTGCTTATTTTCCATCACAAGGTTATTACAGCATGGGATTGATTTTAAATAAGAAATCTGTAATACTGTTGAACCTCCCCAGGGATTTGTTACACATAAAAGAGTTTTCTGATTTAATTCCTCTTAGTTTTGTAGTAGAGTGCAATTGCCAAGATGCAACTTCACAGTTCTTTCCTGGATTGGCACAATCTGTTGCCTTTGAGGACTGGTCATCAGATGTCCATCTCCGATTTCTTTTAATCCTATGCCTCCCTTTCTGGCATTTAAATTAAAGCTTTGGCTTTTGCTGAAATTTAAATCCCATTCTTACAGAACCTTTATACCTGTCCTTATCACAGTGAAGCCAAAGGCTATTTTTTTCTGATAACTGTTAAACTTCACATTTACTTTCAGAGCCTTTCCTTTCTCAGAGATCCTGAAAGTCTGTGAATGCTGTTCTTGTCTGCCATTTAAAAATATCAAAAGAATACTGAAGATCCCAACATCTTATTTCTTGGCTCTCTTGAAGAACTATAATGGAGCTCTCCTGCTATTTATCTCTGCTTTGGTCTAACCATTCTAAGTCCTTCAGCAACTTCCAAATGTTCATCTAGTTGGATCACTTTAGGAAACAAGCAGTCTGAATACATACCCTAGTAGTGCTTTTGTTGTTGCTATTGTAGTTTGTAAGAGAACGTTTTCTGTATGAATTTCATGTTATGGTTATAGGACTAAATCTGAAGGTCTACTGACTTCTCTCTTCAATGCCCTGTGTTTCCTTCAAATATATATTCAAATACATTATATCCTATAAACACACTTTGAAGCTGGGCACTAGTGCTTTATGATTCATCCTAGCTACTCACACGAGCTGAGATCAGTGGATCACCATTCAAAGCCAGCCCAGGTAGACAAATCTATGAGACTCCAATTAACCAGTAAAAAGGCCAGAAGTGAAGGAGTTGTGGATCAAGTGATAGAGTGAAAGTCCTGAGCAAAAAGCCAAGCAAGAGTATGGGATTTGAGCTCAAGACCAGCACCAGAAAAAAAAGGGGGTGAGGGGGATTAACAAATCATTAAGAAAGTATGAATACAAACAGTTCTACTTAGATGTATTTTTCCTATCCTAGCTTGGTATGTAATCCTACCCTGCTCAAAGGCAGAGATAGAAAGATCAATTCCCAATGTTAGTTCAGGCCTTGGAGTGATAACCTATCTGAAAAGCTAACCACTAATGTGGCTCAAGTAGTAGAACATTTAAGGAGGCCTGAGATCCCCAGTACAAAGGGAAAGGAAAAGAGAAAGAGAAGGAATTTTTTCCTGCCTCACTTCTTTTTCCCCCAGAATTGTCACTTTTCCCCCACTTTCCTGCATTGTTAAGTTTGTCTAATTATTGATTATTAATTTAACCTACAAAGGAATTTAGTGGACGCTCAATTCTTTAAATATTCCTCAGTGGAAGATTGGCTTCTATAGTGCTTACTAGTTCCTGGATCAGTCAGTAGGGATTGCCTGATGTTCTACCTGCAGGAATGCATTTAGCACTCACAAACACTAAGTACAGTAGTAGCTCTGCTGAGCAATTTGATTTTCTACATTCTGGAAACTAAAATAGTCACTGGAATTCCTGGTTTGTTATTTTTCCATTGAAAG